CCCCTGACATTCTGTGATTCTGTGAAAGCAAACATAACAAGAAAACTACGTGGATGGTACCTGACTGCCCTGCTTTTCCAATATAAGCAGACTTAGCCATATTTGAACGAAAGACATGAAAATACTTAATTTCTGCGCAATCAAAGAATTTTTAGTATGTTGCTATTTCAAGAACTTTTTTTCAGATGCCTGTACCGTGTGGTTTTTTCCCTTGATTTTAGGCCTGTTACTAGCTACATCACCAACGCCAAAACTCAGTTATCAGTACAAGACTTAAAGGCACTGAGAAGACAGTGGCTTCCCCCCGTCCCCCTGACAGGTTGCTTACATAATATATAAGCTAGCCCTGCCCTTTTGGTGAGCAGGGGAAGGGACTCTTGTAGACAAGAAGCCAGTGAGAGTGGAACTCAGCCTGTGGTGTAGATGATGTGAAGCACCCCTGGCTTGTAGCATTAACTCAGCCTTGGTGTTCAAGGCAGGTTTGCCCCAAGGGGTGACATTTTCACTTTGCAAACAAGCAAAATGGAACAGTTTTATTTCACTCCCTTTAGAAAGATAAAGAGACCACCTTACCTTTGTGATTTTTGTGTCTACTGCATGACAGCAAGGCAGAGAGTTGTGGAAATCTTTAACATACAGAGAACAAAGAAAACTCTTCTTGTCTGACATGAGTAGTTGGTGAAGACATTGAGCTTAGTCTTCCTGTAAATCATGTGAGTTTTTCCTCATTTCAGATAGGGGAAGTGATCAGCAGCAAATGATTACTTTTCTACAAAGTTGAATACACAGCAACATTGTATTGTCAGTTCCTGTTACTAACACATTAGGCCTTTGGAAGGAGTCTTGCTGCCTTGAGGTGATTTTTGGCAGTGTAAAAACTGCTGTTTGAGAGGCATTTTGGAACATATTTGAGAAAAGCTTGGCAAAGGGTAGCAAAAACAGAGATTCAAACACCAACAACTTCAAAGGAATCAAATTTGTGTCATTTGAAATTTTAGCTTTGTACACTCATAGAAGTCCTACTACTTTTATTACTGTTAGTAATAAGTCAGCAGGTCAGATATTAGGGAGAATGATTAGTTCAGTCAGAAGTTATAACTTTCTTTCTTAACTAGCTGAACAATTTTACGGTATCAGTCACATGTTTGCTTGCTTACACAGCACTCTAATTCATGGAGATTTTGGTCATGTTCACTTCTCTAAGTCACTCATTTTCTGTTCAGTACAGAATCACAGAATTGCTATGGTTGCAAAGTACCTTTAAGGTCATTGAGTCCAACCATTATCTAACTCTACCAGGAAACTTCTACACCATATCCCTGAGCATCCTGTCTAGATGGCTTTTAAATACATCCAGGGGTGGTGATTCCACCACTTCCCTGGGCAGCCTGTTCCAGTTCTTGATCACCCTTTCAGTGCAGAGGTTTTTCCTAATGTCTAACCTGAACCTCCCCTGGTGTAACTTAATACCATTTCCTCCTGTCCTGTAAATTGTGGCAGGTGAGAGGAGGCCAACACCCACCTTGCTACAACCTTCTTGCAGGTAGTTGAAGAGAGCAATAAGGTCTCCCCTCAGCCTCCTCTTCTTTACACTAAACCACCCCAGTTCCCTCAGCTGCTCCTCATAAGGCACAGAAAAATACCCCAGATTACTGAGTTTCTGAATCAGAATATCCCCCCCTGGTTGAATTTACATGTTAGAAAGTAAGCAAATGTTCTGTGTATTTTTGTATGTTGGTATTTGAAAGCCTTGCTGATTTCACTGTGACAGGTTTTACTCTCCTCAGATTCTAAATCAGACTTTTGACTTCTAAGTTTTTTTAATTTTTGTATTCACATATAATAATGTATCACATTGTAGGAAATGAAATATTTTGGATGGTTGGTCAGTGTAGCTCCTTAGTTTATCCTGTAGATATCAACAGATTTTTTTTTTTTTAGTCAGATAGTGAAATGTTTGATGGTGGGCTGCAAGGAGGTGCAAGCAGAATATTTTGCCTGTGTTAATTCTGTAGGTTTCTGTGCAGCCCTAGCACTGTTCAGGTATTTGTGTGGTAATCAGTGCAAAGTAACCTTGGGTTGCCTCACTTTCCCAGACCATTGAGTGGTTCTGAGATTCTTTCACACTTCCAAGGCCAGTGTATAGTAATTCTTGCTAAGAGCTGTAGATGTCTAGGGTAGGATTAGGCATTTCTGTAGTCCTTTAGAAATTTAGTGAGTTTGCTTTAAAAAAATCCCATTTTAAAAAACACCTTCAGCAGTAGTGAGCAAATTAACTGTTTTTCAAAGGTGAAAAAAAGGAGTTAGCTGTTTGTCCTACTGTTTCTGCAAATATTTATTGGGTGAAATTAGTATAAACCTATAAATTTATCCTGAGGTTCTTACATTGTGTTGCTATGACCTAAAGCCATATATAAGACGGATAGCTAAGAACTGGCAGTGTGCTGAAACATCTGCCCTCGGGTCACGGTATCGATCTGACACCTTGTGTCACCACTGAACTCAGTTCCAAATACAGAAGGGAGGTAAGATGGAGATTTACTGAGCTTTGCTTTTTCTTTTAAACAAAACTTCTCCAGTAGATGGCAATATTTAATCTTACTTTACCCATCCCTCCTGTCAGCCCTGTGTTGTTACAGAGGTGGAGGTTAGGAGTGTTCCTTCCCTTGCATGTGCTCTTGTTCCTGTCTTTTCATGGTCCCCCAGCACAGCTGTTACAGTAAGAGCCCTCTTCAGCTTTCAGACAGTAATACCTTTGCATACAAAATTGTATTAAGTGTACATTTGATGCTGTAACGTTTTCAGTGCTGAATTTCTATTTTCCTTCCAGATTCCTCTATGTAAAGTAATCAGATTTAACATTGACTATACAATTCATTTCATTGAGGAGATGATGCCTGAGGTAAGAAGGATAATTAGTCATAATGTCAGAGTGGGTAATGAGTTGTTGATGTGCTTAATGGATTAAACTCTTAAGAATCCCATCTTGTGAAGTCTCTAACAGACAGGCTGTGTTCTGAACAAATGGCTGAAGAGGAACTTGCACTCACAGGGACTAGCATAAATCCATTTACCTAGACTATCATATATTAAAATCAAATAGTAAGAAGTGCTTATATCCATAGCTTCTTTTCATTTTAAGTTATATGTAATATATGTCAGGTATTCTTGTCTGTAAGCTGTTAGACATCTTTCTTTTATGGATGACAAAAATTAAGGCATATAGAAGTGCTGGTTTGCCAGGACCACCTAAGTCAGTGGCAGAGCTGAAACTCAGTCATGAGTTTGAACCTCTCAAGATTGCTTATCAGTATTTAATATAAGCTGTTGCCAAAACAAATTTCCAGTGGATACAAACAAAGAACATTCAGTTCATAATCTCTTTTTTTTTTTTTTTTTTTACTGCAAATTAGTCCTGGTGAAGCCAGTTAGTGAAGTAAATAGCTGCAGCAGAACAGCATGTGTAGGTACAGAAACACCCCTGCATATTAACTACAAAGATAGGATCAGTGTTTAATTTAGTCACATATATTTACATTTTTCTTTCTAGTTATCTCTCTTTGTTGCTCAACAGCATCTAAGTATATGCAATAACCCTGAAATTCCTCAGCAAGATTAATGTGTTCAAGGCAATTAATTTCTTGTTACTGCATCTGCTATGTTGTCTCCAAATCTTGTTCTAAAACATCAAATGGCCACCAAGCCAAATAGAGAATTTGACATTTTCTTGGACTCCTGGTCAATTGGCTACAGCACTATTTGCAGCTCTTTACTAATGCGTTCTTGTGAAAGAGATTGCGCTGCTGGGTTTGGAATTTATAGCCAGTAGCTTACACATACAATTTATATCAACCTGTCCTGATTTTGTTCATTAAGGAAGACCTTTTAACTTCTTTCATTCCGGAATGAAGGCTCTTTGTTTCACAGGAGCTGCTTCCCCACTGGATGAGAACAGTCTCATTCTTATTTATTTATTTATTTATTTATTATTTTTTCCTCTTCTTTCTTATTGACTCTTGAGGTCAAACTCTTCAGTTGGTGTTGTACTGATACACTGCTATGGAAGTGATCCTGATATCACAGATGGTGATTTATAAGCTTTTTAATATGAACATGTAGGAGAAAGTGAGTTACGAGAAAGATTATTCTCAGAAATGTCATCTGCTTAGCTTACTCAGGGGAAAGGAGTTTAGTGCATGGAGAACTATCTCAGATTTATCATTTCTGCCTATAGTATTGATTTTGACATTGACTAAAAAGTCTGCATTACAATGCTTTCTTGACACTACTTTCTGAAGAGATCCCTGTGTTATGTTGCAGTCGATGATTACAAATATGTTGGTGCAGTTTCCAAAGCCCAGTGTTTAGCAGCTGGCAAATAGGAAGGCACTATTTTTTTTTCCATTGTTCTATTTAAATATATGTAGTGTCATTATTTGTATTACAGTATTATGTAATAATAATTCTGTTTTATTTTTTTCTTTCCCCAGAATTTTTGTGTGAGAGGTCTTGAACTCTTCTCTTCCTATCTATTCAAAGATATTTTGGAGCTCTATGACTGGAATCTTAAAGGTAACTTCTATTTAGGGGAAAAAATAACCTAAAAAAAAAAACCCAACTAATTGCAGCTTCTGTAAAAAGGACTCTATTTCATTATGTTCTTTGGTTTAAAAAGAAAAAAGTAGGGAGGGACATCAAAAGAACAAAGTCAAATGCTGGTTTATGTGAAAGGAACAAACTTCCACTTTGTTCTTCAAGAAGATGAAATATATTAGAGTTCATTAGTGTGGGCTGTAGCAATTAAAATACACAAACTTGGCAGTGTATGCTTGCAGATAAACTAAATTTCTTTTTAGTCCCAAACATTTAATCAAGCAGTAAATATTATTGTGTGTTTTTTAAGGCAGATGTACGTGATTTCTTGAGAGCCACAGTGTCGGGTAAACTATTATGTCTGTTTTTATAAGCTAGCAAACAAGTTAGTCATACAGGATTCCTGTACAGTCAACTTACAAAGCAGTGTCATAGACAGCCATAGAGGGATAACATATCATTATAGCTGAATGCTTTTGGCTTGACAAGATGAAAATATATGTTTCTGTGAAGACTGCAAAAAGGGAGAATTTCAGGGATGATCCTTACCGTGGTCCAAAAGAACACCAGGAATATCAAAAGAATTTCCTTTCAGAATCTGTAGGTGTGTTTTGGTGTCTTGACTTCGTCTGTGGAGGTGTGCTCTGCACTTTCTGCCATTCAAGAACAGAGCATACAAGTTTCATATGCTTTGTGTAGCCTTCTTTGGTTTGATCCTCAATGTGTTTTAGTATCAGTGTTATTTTTTGTATCACTGGTTGTGATTGTCCTTTCTTTTTTAACACTGGGTACTTCATGGTTTTGTTTTTGTTTCATGCAAAACATGGGATGATGAAATAGGAAATGAAGAAAACACAAAATAGCATCATTGAAATTTCCTTGTTATCTTCATTATTGTAGCAAAAAAACCCCACCACTAATCAAGAGGGACTAATAAACTAATGCTTACATCTGGAAGGGTTAAGTGAATTAATCCTATAATACTTTTTTTTTTCCAGAATCACTGTTTTAAATAAAACTATGGTGGTTTTGCTAGATTCTTTTCAAGTTATTTTAGCTTTCTTTGAAATTGTCATGTAAATAGAGTTGTTACTCTATTCCTCTGCTGTACATTTTTTAACTTTTCTGGTTGAAACTTAGGCCCTATCAAATGTAATCACCACTAATTGATTTCATCTGTGGCAGGGTTGCATTTTTTTTTTTGTTTTGCAAATAAATATGTTGCTGTTCATAAATTTTCTGTGTTTTCTTTTTTTCCATATTTAAGGTCCTTCACTTGACAATGACTCTGTTTGCTGCCCCAGATTTCACTTCATGCCACGATTTGTGAGATTTCTTCCAGGTAATATTTGTATTTTATAGCTTTATGGAAGTCAAACAAAAAAACACAAAACCAACAGTTTCACCCCAAAACACACTCAAAAATCCCCCAAACCCAAAACTCAGAAAACTTATTACAAGTCAAATAGTTCAGTCAGTGTAGAGACCTGATGCTTCCATCTGAAGTCTTTAGTGCTTGTTGGCAGCAGATTTACTCAAAATGGGGATTCAGATGGGCAGGCAATGTCTTGCTTCCAGCTTTTGTCTATGTCATGGTGATTTCAGGCAGTTCTGGGTCATCCTTGTTGTGCCTTCGATGGAGATATGACATTTGAGGAGTGTTATTATCTAATCTCAATTATAAAACTGAATTTTGTCCCATCTGCTCTTCAGGATACCATGTGATTGTATTAAAATTCTTGATGTCCAGATTTGAGGGTCAGCATGATTGGCACCCTCGAGCCCGTGTTGTTCTGATTGGTTATCTTTTTCTTTAGCTTACTGCAAGCTTAGACCTTGCAGCAGACTGTGGAAGAGAGAAAAACACCATTCCAGTGCAATTCAACCTTAGCCCGCCAGCCAAGGACAAGCTTCAGTGTGTAGCATTATGCTCATTTTGAGTGAACAGCTTATGCAGGCATTTAGCACATCCTAAGATACTAGGACAGATTTTCAGTTGTTATAAATGTCATGGCTCCATTGCAAATGTGTCCTGCTGAGATCCAGCCAGTGATTGCTCTGGAAGGGTTGTGTTGGACAGGAGGATGTGTTTCAGCTGCTGGACCAAGGGTGCAGATGAAACATGGAACAATCTTCATCAAGAGGGCTGTGGCCTGGAGGTGCTCTCTGCTCTGGGCTTTGAAACTTAGTTAGGATATTAATTATAGCTGTAGCTAAATGACGTTTGGCTCGTTACTGTGCAGAGTACTGATGGCTAGATGACTATATTTCTAATTGTTGTTCCTTCCTGGATGCACAACACTGTTCAATCAGAAGCAGAGCTCTGAGACTTGCTAGCAAACATTGATTTGGTTCTGCTGAAGCAATTTACAAAATAAGCCATCAAGCCACATGTGGCTGATTAACTTGACCTCATCACAAAATGAAAACAAGTTTGACCTGCCTGGTTTGTGTAGCTTGAGGGTGTTTTCCTATTAGTTTGGGGGTTTATATTCTGATTTGGTGTATTTTACTTTAGAAGTCAGCTCTTTCTGCAATGCTGCCCTGTTGACTGGCAGGAAGAGATAACTCTGTAACTTGTGTTCTTGTGCACTTCCTCTGTAAGGTTCTCAGCCTTCTAACTCGTTTTTAAAAATCTTTATCCTGATATTTCTGTATATATAGTTGCCTTTTAGCATCTTTATGACAGATATTTTTTAGATCACATGTGCATTTTGTATTGATTGTTTTCTCAGATGTCCTTGGGGATTTTTAGTTTCCAGAATATGTTTGCAGAACATTATATATGTCTATTCGAAGAACAGGTATTGGTGTAACAGATCTCCACATGTCCATCTACTGTCTCTTTAGAGACAGAAATTAATTGTTGATTTCCTATCTCCTCTACTTTTCTTTCTTTCTTTCTTATTTTTTCTAACATGGTCTAAAACTGTGAGGTTTGAGCTGTCAGATTTTCTGTGTTGATTTCTTAGGCTGTGGGTAGCTCTGAGCTTTGAGCTGATCATACTGGGCTGTGCCAGGGATGAATAGCATGTGGAATAGTTATTGTATTCTAGTCATTGTAATACAATTTTCTGTCAATAAATATATTAAGAGAGTAAAAGACTTAAAAAAAACATTTGAGGTCCCAGGTCCTGTATGTCTGACACAGGAAAGGCTGTTCAGCACAGCTGCCTATAGCAACCTATACCTTTCCTCTACATGATCTTCAGGATCGTGTATATTTTGGTGATAGTTGTACATGGGCTAACTCCTGCATAACAGGATAATCTAGTTCTTGATAAAGTAAAAACATCTTGTAAACTGAGTCTTCATTTTAATTGAAGGAAAACTGCACGTTTAAAAACCTGCCTCTGTAGCTATTTAGAAGTATTCTGTTTCCAATGGGGTTTGGGGTATATTTTCCCCATTTAATATTCCTTCTTGGAGTTTAAATGAAGTTAATTGTTCTAAGAGGCCAAGTTATATCATTCCCTTTCATCTTTTCTGTACCATAGTGCTGTAATTCCAGCTGAAGTAAGAGAAGCTCTTGTTCCCTTGCGTGTCATGTAAAGAACATCATGGTACACAACCCTGCTCTTAGGCAGCAGTTCTGTGAGACTTCCCCTGTGCCTGGGGTCCCATTCCTGTGTGCTCTGGCATCATCCCCCACGTTGCTCTAAGGTTTTACTTTCCTCCATTCCTTTTTGTGTGTGTGTGTGTCTGCTGACAGAGGGGAAGTACTCAGTGGCAGGACCAGCTTGCTCCTGCTCTCTTGGGAAGGGAATTCAGCATTTGTGCTGTGTGGATGAAACTTGAAGATGCCTTCATACCTACAGATTAACACCCTGTTGCTGGAGGGGGTCAGAGGGAAGTGTGTCAAAATTAAAGCACTGTAGTGATGTGGCTATCTTTTTACTCCTGTGAGCAGATATAATGAATTTGAATAGTCAGTGTCTTCAGAGTGGTAGTCTGTCAGTACCGTCGCTCATCTTTCCTGTCTTCATCTTCACATGTGTAACTAGCTACCTGGAGCCAGCCAGATGTTTATTATACTGTCTCTCCCTTGTTAGAAGCAGTCTTTGTTGTGCATGTTTTCTGGGGTCTGGGGTGCATGTGTACTAGGCTCTTTGGAGGCAACAGGCTGGATGGAGGAGCTGAGGTCAATGATATGATGTTCAACAAGGCCAAGTGCCAGATCACAATAACCCCAGGCAGTTCTGCAGGCTTGGGGAAGAGTGGTTGGAAGCTGCCTGACAAAAAAGGACCTGGGGATATTGGTTGACAGCTGGCTGAATATAAGCCAACAGTGTGCTCAGGTGCCTAAGAAGGCCAACAGCATCCTGGCTTGTATCAGAAACAGTGTGGCCAGCAAGACTGGCGAGTGATTGTCCCTCTGTACTGGTGATGCTGCACATTGAATACTGGGTTCTGTTTTGGGGCTCTCACTACAAGAAAGATGCTGGAGCTTATCCAAAGAAGGGCAACAAAGTTGGTGAAGGGTGTGGAGAACAAATATTATGAGGAGCAGCTGAGGGAACTGGTTTTGTTTAGCCTGAAGAAAAGGAGGCTGAGGGGACACCTTCTTGCTTCCTACAAGTACCTGAAAGGAGGTTATAGCAAGGTGGAGGTTAGTCTGCTTTCACATGTAACAAGCAATAGGACAAGATCAAGTGGCCTCAAGTTACACCAGGGAAGGTTTAGATCAGATATTAGAAAAAATTTCTTCACTGAGAGGGTTGTAAAGCACTGGATAGAAAAGGCTGCCTGGGGAAGTGGTGGAGTCACCACCCCTGGGAGGATTTAAAGGATTTGTAGATGTGGTGCTTAGTGACATTGCTTTATCGTGGACCTGGCAGTGGTGGGTTAATGGACTTGATGATCTTAAAGTTCTTTTCCAAGCAGGACAATTCTATACTTATATGTATTTAGCAGTTTCCATGTGTCCCTGAGTCATTTAGTGGTTGAAGACAGCATAAGGCTGGCAACAAAGTTGGTGAAGGGTCTGGAGAACAAATATTATGAGGAGCAGCTGAGGGAACTGGTTTTGTTTAGCCTGAAGAAAAGGAGGCTGAGGGGACACCTTCTTGCTTCCTACAAGTACCTGAAAGGAGGTTATAGCAAGGTGGAGGTTAGTCTGCTTTCACATGTAACAAGCAATAGGACAAGATCAAGTGGCCTCAAGTTACACCAGGGAAGGTTTAGATCAGATATTAGAAAAAATTTCTTCACTGAGAGGGTTGTAAAGCACTGGATAGAAAAGGCTGCCTGGGGAAGTGTGGAGTCACCACCCCTGGGAGGATTTAAAGGATTTGTAGATGTGGTGCTTAGTGACATTGCTTTATCGTGGACCTGGCAGTGGTGGGTTAATGGACTTGATGATCTTAAAGTTCTTTTCCAACCAGGACAATTCTATACTTATATGTATTTAGCAGTTTCCACGTGTCCTTGAGTCATTTAGTGGTTGAAGACAGCATAAGGCTCTTTAGTCTTTATTACTGCAGATACAGCATGTAAGCACTAAATATGAGTTTAAAATGCAAGGAGAACTTGCTACACTCATCCAGAAGTATCCCATAAAATTTTGAGTGTTCTTTTTAAAATCTGTATAAATGCCTAAAGGCTTTTTAACTACCGTTGTAAAAATAATTATTAAAGTTTGAAAAGGAAGATGTAACTGGACAATGCAACTGTCTGTTCTGCCTACTCATTTTAAAGTTTTTTAAGGCAATTTGGAAACTTCAGCTTCACAGTGTGATGGAACTGTTGCTCTTGCTACCATTGTCATTAGTGCTTCCAGTTCCACAAAGTGTTTGTGCAGTATTCATCAATAAAACATTTGCCTTCACATTTGTCAAGCCACTTAAAGATTTTGCGTTTTACTTTGCTCATCCAAAGATTTCCTGTGTTCTGCCCGTTTTCCCTTTTGCTTGTGTTTTAGGAGTGAATATCTGAAATGTGTTTTATTTATTTATGTTTTTAAGATGGAGGAAAAGAAGTGCTCTCAATGCATCAGATCCTTCTGTACTTGTTACGATGCAATAAAGCTCTGGTGCCTGAAGAGGAGATTGCCAATATGCTTCAGTGGGAAGAACTGGAATGGCAGAAATATGCAGAAGAATGCAAAGGGATGATCGTTACCAGCCCTGGCATGGTAGAGCAAATAATTCTGATTTATGAACAACCCAATGACATGTACATGTCTTGTTTCAAGGAATTTGCTACAGGCTGAATTGGAAAGGTGAAAATGAGCAGTGACAGTTGCAGATTGCTATAGGAACAGTTCACTGACTCATTACAACCCCGGGAAGAGTTGCACCCACTGCTGTTCTACTGAAGGGCAGATTTCCAGATGAGCTCTGTGTCAATCTGGGCATTAAGAGGAACAGCTATGTTTTATGTACGTGAAACTGTAGTTTGCTCCTCTGCTTTCTTATTTTCTCAGACAGTCTTTGTGTGATCTCATTCTCTTTTCCCTTACCCAAGACCAGCAAATTAGTTACTATTTGCTACTTTCTTTCATCTTCCTCTTTTGACATCCTAGCTCTATTTAAAGTGCTCTCTCCAGATTCTGCCCTGAATATGGAAAAGGTGGGGTTTGCCTTTGTGGGTTTTTTTTCCACATTGTTTCTACGTTGCTCTCACATTGAGGAATTTTGTGTACGTTAATGAATACATCCATTAATTTTCAGTGCTAAGCTTGAAACCCCTATGGCCTTATTATTTTTGGAACAATTACTATTATAAAGCATATATTCTGTGAACACAGACTTTCAACTCCAGTGTTTATGTGAATTTAGCCCATTTTTCTGACTAACACTCTTAGAAATGTGGGTCACAGGAATAGATGATGTCCACTAAAAGCTACAGGATTCTGTTTCTGTGGTTTGGTCAGTATTGTGAAATGATATCTCAGTAGTAGAGGCATATTTTGGACCTAGTATTTTAGACTGCCATAAAGTTTTCTCAGTTGTAATACTTTTCTTTCTCTAAATTCATTTTCCTCCTTTGCTCACAGCTCAACTTCTTAGCTTCTGCAGAAAAAATGTGACTTGGTATCACACCTAAGGGGAAAACTAGTTTGCTAAGTGAAAAACTTGTCTCCAAACCACAGCACGGATGACTTCCTAAATATATTCTTGAAATTAATATTTTTAAATATGGCAGAATTACATCTGAACTACTTTATAAGCTAATCGTAATTTGGGCAGGATCATTTATCCTGGCTGAAAACTTGTCTTTTTGTTTAGCATAAAGGAATGCCTGTATGCCCCATCCTTGTGTCACTGAGCTGTAAATGTTTGCATGCACAAGGCAGTGGTAGTGCTACTTCTGAGATTTTGTGTGATTTTTACTGGCAGACTTGGCATTCTACAAGAAGACAATGTTTTTTAGAGATGTGTGTGGACATCAAAATCTGTAAGCATAAAAGGAATCTGCAGTACTTTGAAAAGCTGCCATGTTATAATGCTGTCATTAGAACATGTTTTTTCTCTCAAGAACATTGCAATGACTTTCGTCTTAGTTTTGGATTTTTTTCTGTTCATTGCAGCACATTCTATTGAGTATGAAAGTATTTTCTATGCATTTTACAATGTTAGAAGAACAGTTCTGTTACAGAGACAATGTGAAACTGTTTTGGAAAATGACAGCTCTTCAATTTTATCCAGCTGACACAACAAAGTAAAAGCACTAACATTTATTTTGTTACTTTCTTCCACAACATCACTTCAGAAATAATAATCCCTCTCGTGAGCAGATCTAGGTTTTATATATGGTTTTTTTTTAAATATAAAGTGAGGTGTACATCTGCACGATGAAGGAGGGAAAAATTTTTGATAGACTTATCATTCCCATATACTTAAACAATAAGCAATAATTCAGAAGTCTTTAAAACCATTTAAATTCCTAGTGTTTCATTAGTTCAGTGAAACTGTGTTGGAATAGATTTAAAGGTTCACAATTTTTAATCCCCTTTAATACTTCACTCTTTCTAAAATGTTGCTGCCTTTCTTACTAGTACAAATGTATATGTGTTTTAATGTAAATCTGTGTGCAATCTTATCGTGTCTTCTCATATCAGCAAAGCCTTGATTGATGAGGTTTGGAGTAGGAAAAAGAGATGATGGGCCTCTGTTCTTTTAGAATTTCTTTTATTTTTGCTGCCTTAGCTCTCAGAGGAGTTGTTGGGTAGCAAGACTGCTTTTTTGAGGGGAGTGGGTATGTGAGAGGTTCCTCTTTTTTAATGGTGGGAGTTCCTCTTTTTTTAATGAACAAGTCTTGTGAAGGTAAAAACTTTTCCAACTGGCTTCGTACAAGCCCCACAAAACTAGATAAACTTGTATTTCAGGACCAAGCTCTGATCTGGAGAACAACATTCTGCCTGCTACAAATCCTCTTCATGTTTTTAATGAGATTTTGTAGTCCTAACCACTTTTTATTGGAAGTGCTATGGGGAAAACCTTTTCTCTTCTTCTATTTTCATTTTTTTAAAAAACCTGGTAGCATGAGCTAACTTATTTTTTATTTTTTTCTTTTTTTGGGTTGGGGAAATTAACTTTGTGTTCAGTCATCGTGTCCAAAGGGATTCTGAGCATTTTTCCCTTGGAAAACATGCATCTATCTGAATGTCAAAGTTTTAAGTAAGTTTTTGGTTTTCTAGAATAGATTGGAAATGTGGCCACCTGATGAGGCTTACCTTTATTTATAGGATTGGCTTTGCTTATCCATGCAGAAAATGATTCCTCTGAACAGTTCTGCCAGGGTGGTTGTAAGGGTGAAATCTTTGTTCTTGACACTTTTTTTAATGTTTCGTGAAAAGAATGGTGAGAGCTGTTTCTGTAACTAAACTCATCTTTGAGAAATTCATAATACTAAATTAGAAGTTTTGAGATGCAGCTAACTAGAAGTAATGCCCTTTTTCTGAAACCTTAGATAAGCAGAAAATTTTGGCCTCATCCGTCTGATTGCGAAGTGGGGAGTGGGCAGGGCACATAACAAAGCAGCTTGCCAGGTAATGGAGAAAATATTTACTTGGAGGCAATCTGCACCTTCAACTGAATTTTTAGATGTGCTAGGTAAGTGATGGAGAGCTCTGTACACAGCATTTCTTCTACAGTGATGTGCAATTACTCATTTTCTGTGTTTTTGGAGATGAAACGAAAGTCGCCTCCTTCTACACTATTCTTTCTAACTATAAAAAGCCTCGTTTTGAAGTGTAAAAAGGACAAAAGTCTCCTCATTACACAAGACTGTATTCCTCATTGTGCACATCAGCCTAGGAGCCTTTTCTAAGAGTAGCGTGACAGATTTATTTATATATTTTTAATGCTGTTTAGTCAGTGTGATTGAATGGCTTCACTTGCTTTTGGGAAATCAGGAACAGAACTAAAATTAGAGAGAGAACCTGATCTTAGCAAACTACTCGGGCACATGGGAGCGTGGATGCCAGAATGCTAATCCTGATTTTTATTTCCAGTGTGATGTTTGACCTTAGAAAGTTGCTTTAAGTTCTCAAAATAATCAAACTGTAAATTTCCCAACTTGTAAAATGAAAATAAAAAGACTTCCTCTTTTTGCTGAGAGGGCTAAGTCAATTAACTTTGTTTCAGTTATGGTCATTGCCAAATACTTATATTAATATTAACAGTTAGTTTAATGTGTATTTTGATAAGCTTGGAATACTGCTGCTTCATGATTCCTGGGTAGTATGGGCTAGTGGCAATAAATCTTACATGGAGCTGTTGTCAATTAGGTATATTTTGTTTTTTCTTCCAGAAACCCAGCTCAGTTCGTATTGATCAACTGGACCGTGAACAGTTCAATCCTGATGTAATTACTTTCCCCATTATTGTCCACTTTGGGATACGACCTGCTCAACTCAGTTATGCTGGAGATCCTCAGTAAGATGTTCTTCCTTCCATGTTTCGTTCAGAAGTGCATTACTGTTGTCATTTGTGGCTTAACTAGGGCTCATTTCTGTGCTTAATTGAGTCACAATGCTTAGTGCTTATAACATTGGACACAAGCTCCATGTTATTTTGCTGAGAGGCCAGTTGTGGGTTTTTGGAGAACAGTGTAACAGGAAGGCAGAGAAGGAGAAATACTTACTCAAGTGTCAAGGTTTAGGGTCACCTATTATAGTCCACTAGGCATATAACAGACTTCCTTTATTAACCCCTCTCCCTTCCCAAATGGGAGGAGAAAGGGGACGAGGGAGAGTGACTTACAAGTTAGAAAAGCAAGCTAGAACAGCTTTAATGAAATAGTAATAATAAATATATACAAAACCAGCATCGAACCCAGCCCCCCTGACTGCCGTTGCATCACTGTCACTACTGCCAATCCTTGGTGGGAACTCTAAATATCAAGCATTATCACTGCTAGAAGCAGTCTTTTCTGACTGAGCTGGAGAGTAAAAATCACTGAGCAGAATTAGTTCTCTTCTAACTCAAACCAGGACACCAGGCTTCCAAAGGTCTGTAGCACACAGACTTTTAAAGCAACAGGATATATTTAGATAATTGTTTAACAGCCCTAAATGGACCTTCCTTTTCTAAATTTCTCAAATCCCAGATAGAATCTTTTTATGTCACTGACAGGGAGAAGATTCCAGGTAACCAATTCCCCAGTAATGTTGGGCATTATATGAAAAAAGTCTGACTTTTGTTTCAGAGCTGTTACTTGATAATTTATTAAGATGCTTTTCAGGTCTTCGATCTAATAATGAAGAATATAGCCATTTTCTGCTTGCTTTCTTTATTACATTGCTCTGTCTTGCACCCTGCATATCCTACTTTGTTGTCTCTTTCTCTGTGCCTTGAAGGATCAAGTCTACGTACTGTTCCCTAGCTTGGAAGCTGTTGCATCTGTGCTACTTCTCTCTGTACCTTTTTATATCCTTACAGAGATTGGGAGGAATGTAGTGAAGGAGTGGAGAGGGAATCAGAGCTTCAGTCAGAGCAAGAAATGCTGTTTCACTGTGGATTCATGTAGTGGCACAACATGGCTGGATTTTGGTCACAGTTCTTTTCTTAGTTTCTGACAATTTCAGGGAACTTTTCCAGTGATTTGGAGATGTGTTTTCAGAATGATGACAGACAGTGTAGAACCCATCTCTTGTGCCTGTAGAGTTAAGGTTGTCTTTGTCCTCACGCGTTTTCCTCCAGTGTTTAAAAACACTGAATGCCACCTGCAGTTTTGAGGGCCAAACGCTCACATGCATATGTATGATGGGCTTATTCTTTTACAACTGCTTGCTGAGAATTTAAAATTCAGTTTGGTGGGAAGTGGGAAGAGCAAGTGCTTAACCAGATAATAACTTATTTTCTTTTGGCTTTGAGCATAACTTTAAGTCCTCATCTTTAGTTTTCTTATCCATGAAAAGAAAATAATTAGACCAAAGAATATTAAGAACCAGCTCTATTTTGATGCTAAATTTCTTAATATTTTTAAAGTTCTATTACCTTACATTGAAAACAGTATAAAAATTCAAAGATTGTTCTTCCCATGCTTTTTTGTTTTAACTTTCTTTAAAATTTCCATTACTATTTTTTTTTTCTCCAGAGCTGCTTACAGAATTAAGACATGCTTGCCTCAGTCTTAAGTCTGGTACATGTGTGAAAAAAATAATGCCCAGAAAAGATTTTTCTCTACCATGTCTTTTCTTTATGAGGTTCTAATACAGAATTTTTCTTATTGTAATCTGTTTATTAATTCTCAAACTTAACTGCAATAACAGAGCTTGTTCCACCCGTGTTAATACTAATAGTAAAACATGTATTGTAGATCATAGTTTCAGGTTCTTGGTTTTAGGTTGAAACCTCCTCATGGAGTTTGTTTTCTGGTTGGTTGATTTATCCATTAATTCATTTTTCTTGTTTGGATAAGGGTTTGTCAGAAATAGATTGCAGAAATGCAGAGAACAGAGCATAAGAAAAGTCTATGGGTTGACAATTTCAGATGTGTTTATAGACTCAAAAAATATCAGCATCTCTAGAGGCAGAGAGCACACATTCTGGAATGTTGCAGAGAAATAGCTATGGGAAAAAATGCTACTAAGAAAAGCTGTATTTGTGTGCCTGTGACTGTGGGATGCTGGGAAGATTATGAAATAGTAAAAACCTGCTGCTTCATTTACTGCCTTGCCTCTCATGTGGTAACTCCCTGATAAAAGCACTGCTTTAAGTTGGTGCTTAGAAGGATCTTGTTTTATAATGTAGATATTAAAAAAAATAAGTTACTTGGGTAAACTTCTTCCCTCTGTCCTCTAATTCCCTGCTTTCTATTAAAAGTCTGGTTTAAAACTGCAGAGGTGGTACTGTTTTGGAGATGGCTTCATTTCCTAAGGACACAAGGTCAATGTCATGACTCTTTTGGTCACTCCTCCCATAGTAACTTGTGAACCTGTTGGTCAATGGCAATAGAATGTAACAGTGGGATGTTGTCTACAGATGGAGTAAGTTCTTTCAAGTCTTATGAAAATCTGTGTTAGGTCACAGTGGGACTCCCACCAAGGAAAAGGTTCTGTTATTGAAGTTCATGTGTAATTAGGCATCCCCAAAATAAGAAAAGGCTAGATGGCTGGAGAAAAACAGAAACCTTAAGTATACACTAACCAGAGAAAAAACTTGACTTGCTGTTTCCATTCAGCACAAACCCGTGGGGGACAAAGCTTGTTTCACTGTTCAGAGAATGACTGTGTTGCACATGAGTTGTAGAGCTCTTCCTCGTGTGCTTCACAGAAATGTTTCATCCAGAGCAAGGAGAGACACTTCTTGGGAAAGGTTATTAGTGCATTTCAGTGAAAGATGAGTAAACCCTGTGGAGAACAGGGAGTTTTCACCTGCCTGAATTGAGATATTATGCTGTGGGCAAGTCTTTTCAGCATGTGGGGCCCTTTGGAGAGGATGGATGGGTATCTGGGCGAGCTGGGTTCTGCCCTGAGCTTTGCTGTTCACCTCATACTGCATACCTCCTCTCTGCTGCTGTGTCATCCATGGTGGAACAACTGCAGAGACATTGTCACCTCTCTTGGAAAATGCTTTGAGATTTTTTTTTTTTTCTGGAGCAAAAAGATGTTTGTAGACCATCTGCGTGTATGTGGTTGCATTATTAGCAGCTCTTGTGTTCATAAGGACAAATGGTGAAAGATTTTTGTTGTATTGACCAAAATATTTGTTTTCTCCTTTTGTCCTTCAGATACCAAAAGCTGTGGAAGAGTTATGTGAAGCTGCGTCACCTGCTGGCTAATAGTCCCAAAGTCAAACAGGCTGATAAACAGAAATTATCACAGAGAGAGGTATGCTGGACCTTCCAGTAACTGATAATCCAGTACAGTAATTCAGGAGGGAGTAAAGCCCTGTGACTGCCCTATTTATGGAAACAATAGAAATCCTTCACAAAAGCCTTTCTTTTCAGGCTGTTAGCACTGATTTTATTTTTATCTTTGCTTGTTAGTGAATGGATTTTTTTTCCTTTATTCAGCTGTCAAACTACAGCAAGTTTTTTACCCAGTTATAGAAATGATCATTAGAGAACCTTAACTTCTTTATAGCCATTGACATTAATGCTTTCAGGAATTAGCATAGAGAGGGCTTTTTGATTTTGCAGTGCACTTTTCAAACGACCCATAATTTTAAACGTTTCTCATCTGAGATAAAAACTGACACACTTGTACACAGTTTTAAACTGTAGTTTATTGGACATCTTAGTGACATTCCTTAAGATCTTTGAGTTGAAGTCATCTGATTCTTATTATTGTCAGTAATCTGTAAGGAAAAATGAGGTATTTGTTAAATTTTGGTCTTTTTTCTCCCCTCCACCCGCACCCCACCCACCGCCCGCAAAGTCCTGAGCAATAAGCATTTCCTAAGTGCAGATGCTCAACCAGTTGGGAATTAAACTCAGAAAAATGAAGTCACTGAACTCAGGTATCTCTTTTTTTAAGATCTTGAACTAAAGTTTTGAGTTTATCTGGTGCATGTTTAGCAGGCACTCTTGGACAACTCAAGTAAAGAGTACATGGAGGAGAAGTTAACTTCTTTGGAATTTAATTAAGTGCCGTTGTATTTTTATTGATCAGAAACCCTGACGGTTTGCAGAACCACACAAAATCTGGAGTTGGAAAGGACCCATGAGGATCATTGAGTCAAATTCCTGAGTCTTCCCTAGTTCATTAATTGCATAGCTTTGGTTGCAGTAAATATTTGATATATTGGACATTACACCTCATTTTTATGGTTACTGTAAAGCATAGTATGCATGAGCAAGAGTCTTAGTTAATGTTTTATTTATGCTGGTATTAAATAAACCCTTAGCTTCCTTACATCTAAATGAGAAAACCCACAAACTTGTGACTTAACTGTGCCACAGTTTAAGAAAAACAAAAACCAAAACTGTCCCTGTAGGAAATAATTTTGTTTGCTGCAGCTTTCCACACTCGGGGTGTAGAAGGGAAGACCGGTGTTTTACGGGCATCTTTTCATCAAGGTCTGGTGACTTATTTATAAAATTGTTGTGGGTTATATGTAGGGTGGTGATTATGCTCTGCTTCAAAAGGCAAAATGCTCCTTTGGTATTTATCACTTACAGTGTGGTGCACTCATTTTTGTTTCTAGACCATATTATCCAGGATAATGAGTTTATCAGCTGTTTGCCATCAGAGAGGCACAAAGGGCTGAAGCAGCTGCTTTGTGTGAGGATAACCTGTGTGTTTGGCCAGGGGAGGTGTCAGGAGCTGTAGGGCTGCACCTGATTGCTACATGGGCTTTTAAAGATTATGAATCATGTATTGTGAGTAGGACTGAAGTACTCCTGAGCCAGTCAGCCTGCAAGTACAACTACGTCTATCAAACACTGTAGCGTCTGTCTCAGAAAACACCCAATGACACAGCCTCCAAGTACAAATTTTAAACAGTGCAGTGCTGTAAGCATCTCTGTTCTGTGTGCCATCAGTCCTTCACTAACTACTGTGAGGTGGTGTGATGTTATTATTTGTGACAAGGTCGTGCCTGGGGGCTTTATTCTGCTAACCTAACTTGGAGCGTTTGCAGCAGGTGCATAAATTAGGACCTGAAGGCTCACTTTGAAGTCATCAGAGAGAGAGAAATGTGTTTTTTGAAGCCTTTTATCCCCCTTCATTGAATATAAAAGGAGCCAGGGTTAACTAGCCTCATACCCTAGATCCCTCAGTATTGAGGTGTCTGAGGTTTGATGAATCTGCGTCTGAATAGATGTGCCTCTTGGAACCACTCTGAGTCTCAGCAGAACAGAAGACGGAGCCCATTCCTGCCCTGAGATGCTCACAGGCTGCAGACTGGAAGCTGTGAAGAGACAGCTGAGAGCAGTGCCCTGTAGTGAAAAGGAGGAGGAGAGGGAGGATGGGTTGCAGCTCTTTTGTCTTCTGAAGAAGGAAGAGCACTGGGAGAGACTTTACTGTTGGTGGTTGTTGTGTGGGGAGCTTGCATGCTCCAGGGGCTTTGTACTACTGGAGCCTGGTGATCCTGATCCGGGGATGATTTACTTTAGCTGATTTTCATTTATTTTTACAGAAAATATTTTCTTTTAATGATTCTGTCAGAATCTTTCAATGATTCTGTCACTGTCGTAGTTTCTAGAGACAAATGTACTCTTTATGCAGCATCAAACAGACAGTGGTGAAGACAAAACAGATTATATTATTATATTTGTAGATTTCATCATAATAGACTCCAGGACTAGTAAAAGCTGACACCTTTCCCAGACTGGGAGTACTGACTATTGAACAATAACTATTATGAAGTAGCTAAGATCACAAACCAAAGCCTTTCTCTTTGTTCTAACTGAATGCTTCAGATCAGGAGTACTCATGATGATGGACTTGAATGAAGAGGTTGTTTTGCACTCAGGGGTAAAGAAGATGCTTTCATTATAAGAACAACTCGCTTAGCTATGTATCATCTTGGATATATAAGCTGGACTGTTTTGTTCTGTAATTTCCAGTAAAAAATGTACTTGTTTCTCATCTCTGTTTTCCCCCCGATCTACCAAAACCCTCTGTCTGCACTGTACTCCAGCATGTTCATCACGGTCTGTGGCTGGCAGTTACACGGTGTGGACTAGTCTCACAAACTGCTCACCTCAGAGGCGTGTTGTGAGCATACTCGTGTGTGCAGTGATACTGCTTTGCTGTCAAAAGTCATTCTCAGGAGCTCCCTCCTCTCCCTGCCTAGGAAGCACTGCAGAAGATCCGTCAGAAGAACACAATGAGACGAGAGGTGACCGTGGAGTTGAGCAGCCAGGGATTCTGGAAGACAGGGATACGCTCTGACGTCTGCCAGGTGACTGAACTCCAGAGATCTCTAATGTATTGTCCTTCTTCATAGTTGCTATTTATGTCTTGCAAGGATTTGCTGTGATTCTAGGCTGAAGAACCAAATGGAAGTTCATACTTTTGCCTCAATAAGACCTGTTGATTTAGGGAACTACTCTGTCTACCTCATCTGTGTACAAGAAAAAAGTTTTTTTTTTTAATTTTAGTTTTATTGCCACTGGCTGATTAGCACAAGGGAGAGAGGGTAGGAATAGCAGCCTGAGGCTGGAGGTCAGCCAAACACTGAGTGTAGTGTGGAACTCCAAGGGATTCTTCATCAGCTGGGTTGATTTTAGATATTTATATTTTCATATATTTTTCTATTTAAATATTTTTTAAAAACTAATTTCACAGTGAAGCATGAAGAAATAACTTTTTACACGAAAGGGAGAAAAAATACCCACCACAACTAACTTTTGGATTAAAACAGATGACAGTGGAAAGATATCTTTCATATACTGTTGCATACACATCACATCTCCAAGGTACAGATTTCTTCCAGATCCTATTCTAAAGCAGTTGACAACCACCAGCTTTGTGATGTAATAAGTTCAATTTTCAAATAATATTGTATTGGTAAAACTCAAGTAGTTGTAATAGTCAAATATACCAGAGGTATTTTTGCATCATTTTTAGCTGCTGTTCTGGAGATCTTATTTAAGAATTAAACACTTACAAATTAATATTAACAGAATGAAGTGTCAACTTTAGGTGTTGCTAGGCAAAGGTATAGGTAGAAATCCCATTGTTATCTTAGAATTCTGGTAAGGCTGAAGGGGAAATTCTAATGGGGGAGAACTAAAATTGCTGTTCTTATGTCTGAAACAGCTGAGGAAGATTACAGCCCTTCTCTAATTTTTTTGTTGTGAACTGTATCTATTTTTTGCAGATGAAGTAAAAAGTGTAAATTTCTAATTTGGGAGTTTTGAAACAGTTCTGTGTTATTCATTTTATCGTCTGTGATTCAGCTCTTTCTGTCTTCTTGGGTATTCCTGTGTGGTTTTGCTGAAGGAGAGCAAAACACCAAAAAGCAATGAAAGTAAAGCTATTGCATGTTTTTGTACCCGTCTGCAACCATAACACATAAATCAGTCAGTTCTGGCATGAAGGTCCTTTGATTTGATTTCCTTGAGAGGCCAAGAGCAGGCAAACTGTGTCTGTAAACTGAAAGATGGCTCCTGTTGCTACATGCCTTTTCCCAGATGAAAGACGACTAAAACTAAATACCCGTAAATCAGCTCTGTGGACAGAGCTAAACTGCAGTGAATTAAAACGAATGCTTTTAAAAGCATTGTAGTTTAGAAGATTGAAACTCTTAAGTCACTCCGATACCTTATAGTTGCTCCAAGTTGCATGTAACAGTCATGACACTGGTGTTTGCAGTCTCAGGAATAAGCCCTTGGAGGGTGAGGAAAAAGGGTGAGTGAAATGTTCTGAAAATGTAAAATGGTTGTGCTCTGTCAGGTTCATGTGAAGTTGTCCTGAAGGTGAAGTGCACTTGGCTAATGGAGCTTGGCAGCACTTACTATGCAGTCTGGCAGGATGAGGCCATGCTGAGAAGATACCCACTCTCCCTCCCCGTGCCACACACCCCCCTCGTGTTGCCTGTATTGTTGCTGGTGGCCCTCAACAGCTGTGTTAAGTGTTCAGGGTGAGGAGAGAAATTATGCATTTCAAAATATTTGAGCTCAACTGGTTCTTCTTAAGTAGCTTCAGGTCTGGAGCATCTTCATGCCTGGGGGATGGAGGACCCATCCCTGGAGACATTCAGGATCAGGCTGGATGAAGCTCTGAGTAGCTTGATCTAGTTGGAGATGTCCTGCTTATGGCAGGGGTTTGGACTAGGTGACCTTTGGAGGTCCCTCCCAGCCCAGATATTCTATGATTAGTTAGTTGGGGTCACCTGAGAGAGTCCCTGCCTTGCCATCTCAGCTGCAGCAAGAAAAGAACATGCAGCATATTTAAAATCATACATATTTAAAACCAAAAAAGAAGTTAGTTGTAGGTTTATAACCTCACTGGTAGTTAATTGTAGGTTTATAACCTCACTGGTGAGGCCACGTGTTGAGTACTGGGTTCACTTTTGGGGCCCTCACTACAAGAAAGACATTGACATGCTCAAGCATGTCCAAAGAAGGGCAACAAAGTTGGTGAAGGGTCTAGAGAACAAGTGTTACGAGAAGCAGCTGAGGGAACTGGGGTTGTTTAGCCTGGAGAAGAGGAGGCTGAGGGAAGACCTTCTTGTTCTCTACAACTACCTGAAAGGAAGTTGTAGGGAGGTAGGGGTTGGTCTGGTCTCCCAAGTAACAAGCAGTAGGACAAGAGGAAATGGGCTCAAGGTGTGCCAGGGGAGGTTTAGGTTGGATATTAGGAAAAATTTCTGCACTGGTGGTTGTAAAGCACTGAACCAGGCTGCCTGGGGAAGTGGTGGAGTCACCATCCCTAGAGGTATTTAGAAGATTTGTAGATGTGGTGCTTAGTGACATGTTTTAGTGGTGGCCTGTCAGTGGCTGGACTTTATCCTAAAAGTCTTTTCCAACCTAAATAATTCCAAGATTATCTTCCAGCTATGTGTTCAGTGCTCAAGAATTTCACAATTTTCACTGAAACAGAAAGTGTTGGTTATTCTTGACTTCTTAATCTTGTAACATTCAGCAGTTTGTATTTTCTGTTTTATTTGACATGCAGAAATCTGTAACATCATTTATTCTGTAAATTATATATCATCTGCTTTGTATGCTTGTTTTTCTTGCATCTTTTCACACTGTACACTCTTCTCCTGTAATCGTACATATTCCTCTTCCTGAAATTAATAACAATAGCCATCAGATTTTGATTCCTTTAAACCACCTCATTCTTTTTAATATATTTATGTCATGTCACTAATAGGAGTGATTAGAAGAACTGAAATTTCACATCAGTGTCACAAAAATGGTCACATTCATAAGCTTCTTTAAATATTGGCATTTTTCCTGTAGCTCTTACTTTACACTCCTATGCAAGATTTTTGATGTTGTTATACTTGCTGTAGTACTGTATTGATAAACGGCACTACTTGCTTATTCCAACCAAGGTCCCTCCAAAGTCATTGTTGGTGTAAAATTCTTGCTCTAACACACTGAAAGAGGGAGACTTCTGTAGTTGCAACATAGTTGGTTAATTTTTTATTGAAATGTTCCCCAACAGAAAGACATTATCTGTTTCCTAGATGATCAAACAGCAACTTTTCTGATATTTTAACACATTAAGCCAGGAAATGCCAAACTACAGCATTTCAAAAAGCCCTTTATTCTTTCTCAGAAGGAAATAAAACAAAGCACTAATAACTGTACTTGAATATCAAGTAGCTGCTGTTATTTGCTGGAAGTTGGCCAAAGTGGGCTAAGTTTAAAATGGTGCACTTGAGCAACATGGACAGTGGGATTGAGTGTACCCTGAGGGAAGTTGCTGATGACACCAAGCTGTGTGGTATGGTTGACATGCTGGAGGGACCTTGACAAGCTTGAGAGGTGGGCTTTGTGAAATTCAAGGTCCTTCAGATGGGTTGAGGTGATCCCAAGCACAAATACAGGCTGTGCAATACAGCCCTTTGGAGAAGGAGCTGGGAGTGTTGGTGGATGAAAAGCTCAATATGACCCAGCAATATGTTCTTGCAGCCCAGAAAGCCAACTGCATCCTGGGCTGCATCAAGAGAAGTGTGGCCAGCAGATCAAGGGGGTGATTCTCCCCCTCTGCTCCACTCTCATGAGACCCCACCTGGAGTGCTGCATTTCAGCTCTGGAGTCCACAGTGTAAGACATGGACCTGCCCAAGCAGGCCTAGAGGAGGGCCACAGAGCTGATTGGGGCCTGGAGCACCTCTCCTAGGAAGAAAGGCTGAAACAGTTGGGGTTGTTCAGTCTGGAGATGAGACGGCTCTGATGAGACCTTATAGCAGCCTTCCAGTACCCAAAGTGAGCCTATAGGAAACATGGGGAAGGAGTCTTTATCACGGAATGTAGTGGTAGGATGAAGGGTAATGGCTTTAAACTGAAAGAGTGCAAATTTTGGTGGGGTGTTAGGAAGAAATTCTTTACTGTGGAGGTGGTGAGACACTGGCACGGGTTGCCCAGCGAAGTTGTGGATACTCCATCACTGGATGCATTCAAGACGAGGTTGGAAGGGTCCCTGTGCTACCTGGTCTAGTGGAAAGTGTCCCTGCCCATGTCAGGGAGGTTGGAACTAGATAATCTTAATGGTTCCTTCTAACAGAAATGATTCTATGAAAGTACTTCTTCCCTAAGGTTGTGAGGCAGAGGGGAAATGATCTTTCTTCATATTTGCTACTCAAAAAATGCAGGGTGTTAAATGTGAAGGTACATTCAGCATTGCATTCAGTCACAGCTTACTGAAATGGGATGTTACTGGTGACCAGACAGTCCTACCTCATTCAGAATACTTAAGTAGAAGACTGGTTTTATGTATTTATTTAGTCTGAATGGGACTGTGACCCCACTGTGATTATGCAGGTGGACAAATCTAACTTAAATGCTCTGGTGATGAATGTTTGGGAACCATGAGTTTTGTTTTCCCCCCCTCATTTACACCAGACCAGCGAAACTCAATGTTGTGACAAATGTAACGCGTTGGTATTTATAACTTAGTCAACGGAGTGTTCTGTACCCTGAATTTGAATGCTTTTCTTTATTGCAACTGTTTTAGCATGCCATGATGCTTCCTGTCCTCACCCACCATGTCCGCTACCATCAGTGTCTGATGCATTTGGACAAACTGATAGGCTACACGTTTCGAGACAGGTGCTTGCTGCAGGTAAGATATGAAAAAAATAAACTGCTCTTGTTGCTTTGTCTTCCCAATATTTCTGAGTTTTTCCATAACCCTGCCTCCTGTACAAACCTGAGAAATGTATTGCATTGCCACAGCTTGGATGTATTTCATTATTTGCACTGCAGATATTTCAAAAGTTTCAATTATCCCCAGAGACTTCTACATAGAGAGATCTGTTGTGCATGTAGGCAGAGACCTGCCTTTGCTGCAGTGATAGCTCTGGATTTGCTTGTAGTGTGCAGAAAGGCAAAAATACGCCTCCTGAAAAGACTGTCAGGTACATTACTCATCATTTCTATGTGAGTTCTTTTTTTAGGTATTTTAGAGGAATACAGTGTTGTTCTGTGGATCAGTGTACATGCCTTGCTTCTTCCTTTTATAGTCTGATGGTCCAAAAATTAGTAGCTTAAGCGTTGGCTTTTTATTTAGCATTTTTAGCTCGTGAAAAGGAATTAGCAAGCTTCTGTTCAGCTCTTGATTTCTACAAGTAGATGATGAAATTTTTCATTTATAAACAAGGACAGGAACAGGAGATGAGAATTTCTTATTTGTTTTAAATCCATCCATGTCGCATAACTAATCATTTATGTAAGTGCATATTTGGAATTGATCAGCTCCAGAAAGTTTATTCTTGGCAGGGTGGCCCCTTTCCTCTTGCATTTTTTTCTGAAGTTACTGAAGGGCAACAGAGACTTCTGTTCATTATTTCTCCTGAAATAAGCATCATCTCTCTCCACTGACTGGGGCTGAGAAAGGTGGATTTTCTCCAAGTTCAAAACATGCAGTTTCTGTATGTGCGTGAAGACTTAACTACCAAACTACTACATAAGTAGAGGCATATGGCAAAATCTTTTCTTGTATCATCTCTTTTTTTCTAGAAGTTAGTTGCCAGGGCTTGATCTGCTGAAAGTTACATTAAACACTGAGCATCTTGTTGGGCTTGGTTGTTAGCAGGTTACCTGATTTTTAATGTGAAAGATAAAAATGCAGTGATGGAAATCTTCGAAATGTTGAGACCAAACACACAAACCAAAAAGCAAATTGCATTTGAAGAGGGGAGAAAACACAGATTCAAGTGTGACAGCATATTAGTCAAATTAATGATAGTTGTAACAAAAGTACTTTTCATGCCTGAACCCAAAGAAACTTTATTTAAGACCTCAAAAGTTGTTCTAGAAGAGAAAGTTTTTAAAAGTGTATATAGCACCAGTCATCTACTTAAGCACAGGCAATATTAGATGTATAGTTCTACATTGATTTTTCACCTATTTCAACGGGATGTATTCTTTCAAATACAATCTGGGCAAGAAGGATTATGCTAGTGTAACTATTTGGAGAAGTAATGTGTCATCCAGTTCAGATGGAGCAGAAGTTGAGACTGTGCAATTATATCCATCTTATTAATATTAGTGAAGGATTAAAAGGACTTGGATAAACTTCTTAATGTTGGTTAAATATAATTTTATTCTCTAAAATATTTAAAATTAACTCCTCTAAGTCTTGCGTTTGGAAGGCCACAGTGTTTGATAGAACTACTGGAATGTCTTTGCTCACAGCCTGCAGCACCAGTCTTGCAAGTGTTTCAGGAGTTACTTTTTGCAGCTTGAGTTTGCCAATGTACCTCTTGTTTTGTGTGCATGGTGTGTGTACATATAGATTTATACATGCATAATATTTTAAAGTGTGCATGTCTAAAGAAAGAGAAAATGCATGAGTATGTAGGATGGAGTCATAAAACCTACCTGTAGTTCTGTTTACTGCTGCTCTTTCTTTAGTGGTGCTGTCAGCAGCAGAATAAGCTTTTGATAATGTTTAATGGTACAAATGTAAAACAGAAGACCAGTGAGTAGCAATGGCAGGACTTCCAGTTGAAGAGTGGCCCTTTACAGTCATGAGAGAAACAGTTCTTCTGTGAATAACCATACCAGAGATAATGCATTGTTTGTTTTTAAAGTAGGGAAGTTTTAGAAATATTTAAATAACCTAAGCCAAATGTGAATAGTTGAGAAGCTCTTTTAGTTGTTGATATTTTTAATTTGAATATTTATGCTACAATGTTAGAGTGAGTATATGTTTAAGCAAATGTATTGAAATCAGGTCAGCAAAGCTGGTAAGCAAAACTCTTAGGGCAAATTGACAGTTCATGTTTTTTCTCTTCTAAACTTAATTTTCATTAAAGAAAAAAACATGTTGAAAGTTAATTAGTTAAATTGATGATTGGGCATAAACGTTCCTTCTTTCTGACACCTGAAATAGTGCACCCTACATTTAAGTTACTGGAATGAAGCTACTGAATGACAACATCACTTTGTAGCCTTTTTTTCAAACTAAAAATTAGCAATTTTTAGCTACAGGTCTAACAAGTTTTTTTTCTCTTATATGCAAAAATACATCTAAGACTTTTTTTTTTTTTTTTTCCTGTGTGTGCTATATTATAGCTTGCCATGACTCATCCAAGCCATCACTTAAACTTTGGAATGAATCCAGATCATGCCAGAAATTCCTTATCCAACTGTGGGATTCGACAGCCAAAATATGGAGATAGAAAAGTTCACCATATGCACATGAGGAAAAAAGGTATGATGTTAAGGCATTACCATCTTTCTCTCACCTCACAATTATTCTGTAGGAAAACCTTTTGTCCATTATTATTTTGTTGACCATTGCTCTTCTGAGAGATCCCTTCAGTAGAGGATTTTAATGGTTACCCACAGAGACCAGTGAGGTCTTTCGAAAAGAAAGGATTTTGCAAAGTAATCAACAAGTAAAGAGCTGAGAAAAAGCATGAGTAACAAAGGGGAGGATGTACTTTGTTTGATATTTTGGCAAATATTGCTTTTTAACTGGCTACTCAATATGATGAGCAAACAGAAGGTTATTTTGTGAAAAATATCTTATTAATGTGAAAAGATGCGGACTGTCTGCTGCAGAAAATTTCTTACCCCTTAAAAGTATATTCAGCTGTAATTAAGTAAATGGTTTATGTAGTGTTGGGAACATCTTTTTCATGCAAAAGTGGTATTTTTATCTGGCTCTCCCTATGCAAAAATACAATAGTGCTGTAAAGGGGTTGTGCTCAGTTTGGCTGAGCATCTGTTAGGATTATACTTGCTGTAAGTAAGGCCTGTAAATAACAGGATCATCTTGTGTACAGCAATTACGAAGCAACAGTTTGAGTAATTATTTTCTAAGCCTATTCATATTGAATTAATGGTTGCTTATATAATAGTGCATTGTTTATATTTCTAGGGATAAACACTCTGATAAATATTATGTCACGTTTGGGACAGGATGATCCAGCTCCTTCCAGGTAATGAAAGTAATTGTTTGGAAGTAGGGAAGCTGTTGCAGAGGGAGATGTTTAACAACCAACTTAGTGTCAGCAAACAGCTTTGGCAAAAAATTATAAATTTTGCATTGACTTTATATTGGGAAGATGTGTTGAACCTCCATTAGCAGTGACATAATAAACGTTTGGTCATGCCTGCAGAAAACTCCTGAGAAAGGCTTGAACAGATAATTCTGCCATTTTTGTTTCTCACTGAAATGAAGAGGACTAAAAGGCTACTTTTTTGCATTCTGCAGAGTAAAAAATAAATTTGTTGTTATTGTTTTCACTGCTATAAATTTGACTCTCCATCATGTTTCCATGACCTTCCTGTCATGGCACCTCGTTAACATATGAGTGTGATACTGAATGTGGACTTTGCTAATTTACTGATCCAATTTACAGCCATACGCAAAAAACGTTGACGTTGTAATGTAATAATTGCATAAATGACTACTAAAAACTCTGTGCATATAAATAACATTTAAGATGTGGTTTATAGCCACAGGCACCATATTTAGCCAAAGTGAATAAACACAGAGCTCATAGGACTATTGCAAGAAACAGTTGCATGTGAAATCTCCTAAATTCATGAACTAGAGGGCAGAGTGTATTTTAGTGAACTAATGCTGTAACTGGCTCTTTTAAGAGCTGTCATTTTGAAGGAAGCTCAGGAATGGGAGAAGTTGAATTTTGAATAAATTACAGTTGCAGTGTTCCCCAAATGCTGTTTCAGCTAGACCGTATCACACCCTTTTCTCTGAGAGTCAGCCTCAGGCTTATTTCAGCCCTATTAAGATAACGTGAGATAAGGCTAAATTACATTAATTCTCACAAAGTAACATACAGATAGAAAATCCTATTTCTAAGAGCTCTGTGTTTTCCACTTCTACACAGAGAAGTTGTAGTTCTGCTCATGCTTTTTTGTTTTACACAGCAGAAGTTCTTGAATTTTTTTAGTCTATAACAAATGCCAGTGATTTCAGAAATCAGATTAAATAGGCAATCGTTGGAGGAGTGCATATGACAATAAAAGTTATCAATACACTTGAGAAGGATCTTCTAGGTGAAAAAATCCTGTGGCAATGGCCACAGTCAAAAGTGAAAATAGTGCTACTTACGTGCTTTGATGTGCATTGCAGAAATTTGTATATATTTGAAGACAAGCTCACATTCTTTTTAATCAGGTGTGTCCTGTTAGTCTTTTGTTATATAAGCAGGCAGAGAGCTTTGAGGAAATGAAACTTTATGCAAAACAAAGGAACATCAGGAGCAGTGATAGAAGAAAAGGAAAAAAGGAAATAAAAGATTCTGCCATCATAATGGCATCTCCAAATGCATCTTCTTGCATTTTTTCGTTTGAGCTCAAAGGAGGCTACAGAAAATAGAGCATTTAAAGATGCTATGAAAGATGAAAGTTCTTGCTCCTTTGTAGCTCTGCTGTGCTAACAAATCTGTTGCAGAGTCATCACACCCTGCCTGTGTTAATTGCATGCACTTCCCTAGCTGCATGCAGGAGGCTGAGGACAGGCTGTTTTAATCACCTGGTGCCCTGTGCAGGACAAAAACCTGACCTCGGAGCCAATCAATAATCATTTCTCCATTTGTTAAGCTCTGACAGTAGCTCAGAATGGAACATATTAAAATTTCAGAACTGGAGTTGTCACTTGGAGTTTCAAGATTCATGTAGCTGTTGTCCTGTCTTGGAAAGGATTGTAACCCTTAGTTGCTTAGCAATCAATTCTGATTTGCTCTGTTTTAATTGTGTTTGGTAAATAACCAGCATGTGTTACTTAGCTGATAGTAAACCTTAAAATGCCTTTTTCAGGATTAACCACAATGAGCGTTTAGAATTTCTGGGAGATGCTGTGGTGGAGTTCTTGACAAGGTAAATGGAGAATTCTTCATCTGTTCTCACCTTTCTATGTTATTGTCATATGGTTTGGCTTATTTAAGCTTTACAACGTCTGTTTATGGCTGTGCATGTTTGCAGTCCTGCCTGATCTCTAGAACTGCACATCTGCACATGGCTCTCCAAAAAATTCCTTCAGTGCTGATGATAAAATGAGGAAGATTACAAGATGAAAAGCTAGAGTTTCTGTTTTGTGGAGTGGATTTTAAGTTGATTTGGGTTAAAGGTTATTCAGCTAAAGACAGGTTGAACTCAGTACACTTTCTTAGCATGCCATTTTGTTTCCATGGGTTCTTTTTTCTAGTTGTAAGTAAAAAGCATTTATTGGTAATAATGTGTAACAGTTCTTATATTTCCAGTTATTAGGGCTGTAGCTTCCATAATGTCTCTATGTAAATAAAACAGCTGAGCACAAATGTAGTGTAGTTAGAAGTAATAACACAAAAAATATGGTTCATCAAAAGTTGCTCCAGTTCTGGCCTTTTAAGTATTCTGAAATCAGTGCACAGTGGAGGGGTATTATCAGTTACCTCAGATGGCCTCTTACCTGAGTACTAAAAGCAGGCATTTTGAACACAATAACATTTATAATCCCTTTTCAGCTCCTTTGTGCTAGTGTTGATAATAGGAGAGTAGTGTTGTTTACTGTAAAGCTTCTTTTTAAGCAACCTTGTTACATGAATAACAAAACTGCCCTTATGTCCATTCTCTACTAGCCATTAGCTACACAGTATTAAAAGCTATTTGTCTATAAAGGTCTCCACTGCCCTTAAAACCCATGACCTTTTCTCTCATACAACAGTACAGGCTGATAAGATGGAAGACCTGTTGATTAAAATGTCTTGAATTTTTCATTGTCATTGTTCATCAACCATCAGCTGACTTTCTAAGCTAACTTTTGTCTCAATCCAGAAAAAAACGAGCTATCTTTCTGTTCAGTAGAGCATGTAAGCACCTATTTAATTCTGAATTTTTTTCCTAACTCTCTTGACTTCAAGTCTCTGCTTCTGTGAATTTTGTGATGCTTGATTAGATTGCCTCTAAGTTTTATAGCAGTTGTTGTCCTTAAATAATCTTTCATCCATCTGCACTTTTCTCCCTCTATACTGGGCGAATAAAATATTTTAATAATTAGTGCCATCCACTGCCCTGTTTGTGGGATGTTGATACACAAAGTATCAACCTGTATCAGCCCTTTTCTGACATGGGTTAGATAGTCATATATAAAGGTATTCAGGATCATTTATCTGTTACTCAGATCACTGTATTACCTTTTTTGTTTCTGCTCTGTGAATTGTTTTACTTGCCTGCTGACAAATACTGTTAAAGGCAGGTGAAAGCCTGTGATCTTGATACAGGTTTTTTTTCAGTGATATTAATGATTTAACACATTTGATAAATACAGGATGTTGTGTTCTGTTCTTTGGCTACATTAACATCTGTTAAAGTTCTGTCAGAAACTTGTAAAACAACTAACCTGAGCGGGGGTCCAGCCTGAATCAGGGGCGTCCCCTGAAGGCAGGGGGTGCCTGCGGCCATCTCTCAAGGTTGAGGGTTCCCTTGTGCTTTATTCCTCAGCATCCCTGAGGTGTCCACCTTGCTGAGCCCACTGCTGCTGAGAGAGGGAAACCTTCAGGTGAGGGAACTGCAGGCTGTTGCAACAGTTTAGAGATTATTTGCTGCCCAGCAGAGAAGATGCATTCTTCCTCCCTGCTGCCAGTGCTATCCAGTCAGGTGTTACTGAGCGTTGTGTGAATGTTCCTTTCTTTACCTCACTTCAAGCCGAGCTGCCACTTTGGGAAGGGACCCTGTGCTACCAGCTAGGATCTGAGGGAAAGGCATAGCTCCCTAGAGGCACTTCTGGTTCATCTGTACCCAAATGGTGACTGCATCTGATTTTTGTTTTGCCAGTGTCCACTTGTACTACCTGTTTCCCACTCTGGAGGAAGGAGGACTAGCTACCTACCGCACTGCCATCGTCCAGAACCAACACCTGGCCATGCTGGCCAAGGTACGCCTCCCTAGGTCTCTGCATTTCACACCCATAGGCAGGGTACTCCTGGCCCATGGCTTCCTTCCTGAGGGATCTGCTTGCTTTGAACATCAGTGTCTTTACTGTGCTTTGTGTACAAGATTTGGGATACAGGAACTTTTGAAAGTAGATTTTGGAGACGAAGCAGGACTTAGTGTTTTCTCCAAAGCGTATTTCTAAGAGGAGTAATTTTTGCAAGCAGAAGGGAAGTTTTTAGGATGCTTATGTTGCAGGTGTGTCTATATTTATCTTTAAATGGCACAGGTAATGAAGCTGATTGTAGAAATTCGGTGAAGGAAAAAGAAACAAACTGGTTGTTTATAAAAGGGCTTCCTCACAGAATGTATAGGGAGAAAATGGCAGCAGATGTTAGAGAAGGGAGAGAAAAAAGTAATTTTGTCCTCTCCCTAACCTGGCATGGTCCTTTTAGAGATTCACTGCAAGCTGCGAAAGAGAGGTATGTTAGAAAAGCTTTTGGTGAAAAGTTGTATTGTCTCATGGGAAAAAATGGGATGCCTCTGAATTTTATTTAATTTAATTCTGTGAATGACACAGCTTTTCTCATTTCTCCATTATAATGGAAGGAGAGAATATGATATAGGAAGTTGATTAAGTCTCTATTTGTATAGATAATTTGACACTATCTTGTTCATACTTGATCTTGTTTGCATGTTTTTTAAAAAAAAAGTCTGTGAGTTACTGGTGTATTAAGCTGTGCACACACATATCCATTGTGTGCTGCTGATAGTTTAAGTGCTCTTTTAATCTTCTGTGTTCATACTCTCACAATCATTTAAACAAGCATATCCAATCCTAAGATTTTGGCAAAAGCTGTATGATGTCTAGTGTGTCATGGACCTGTTGGAGCAGGTCCAGAGGAGGACCACAAAAATTATAAGAGAGCTGGAGCATCTCTCCTCTGAAGACAGGCTGAGAGAGCTGGTGGTGTTTATCCTGGAGAAGAGAAGACTCTAGGGAGACCTTATTGCAGCCTTCCAGTGTCTGAAGGGTGCCCACAAGAAAGCTGGGGAGGCACCTTTTACAAGGGCTTGTTGTGAAAAGATTGGGGGGTAATGGGTTCAAACTGGAAGAGGGTAGATTTAGATTAGAAATTAGGAAGAAGCTCTTCACTGTGAGAATAATGAGACACTGGAACAGGTTTGCCTAGGGAAGTTGTGGCTGCTCCATCACTGGAGATGTTCAACACCAGGTTGGCTGGGCTTTGAGCAGCCTGGTCCGGTGGGAGGTGTCCCTGCCCATGGCAGGGGGGTTGGAACTAGGTGGTCTTTACAGTCCTTTCCAACCCAAACTGTTCTATGACTCTGTCATCTTTTAGCTCAGCTCTCAGGAGAGGGGTAGGGTAGGGAGCAAGCACAATCATTTTCCTTCAGAGTTTCCTTTAATGATTAGGTAAGCATGAATTGATCTGAAATGTTTCAAATCAGCTGTTTGTGCACAAATATGGTATTGAACTCCCTGACATTTGAATTCATGTTACCATTTTAAAACCAGCATTAGGAAAGTTCATACATTCTTAAAGTCTGTTTGCAGCCATTGTACATGGACAATTTTTGAAAATTTTACTGTAACATTTTTTAAACATTTTTTGCTCATTTAATGTTTTTAAACATTTTAAAATATTTATATTGGATAGAACTCTAAATGTTAGATATCTGTACATTCTTGACTTCTCCATATACCCTTTTTTCCTCTCGTGTTATACGATGTTCCTGGTTTCATCCCCTTTAATTCCCCCCTGCAGTGTCATGTTCAAGTCGGTTGATTTACTCAACATAATGCTCAGCTCCTCAACTTCTCTTGTGCGTGTGCAATGCTGTTTTAATTGAAGATCAAGTGATAAATTTCTGTAGCTTCTATGGGACATTGTAGCAGAAATTTTAAAAAATAATCTGAAACATGTTGTAATCAAAAAATGAGAAGCAAAATACAAAATAAGCTGGATGGAAACTCCAAAAATTGAGCCATTGGAGGTGGGGGAGACACACCCAAACAACAGCTAATAAATGACAATCTGTAAGAATTTTAGATCTTATATAAAGCAATTAAAGCTCTACTTCTATGTCAACTGTTAAGGAATGCTCCCCACGCTTTATAAAGTGCGATGGAACATCAGAAGTGGTGATTTTCTGTGTTCTGGAGCAGTGAATAGACTTCCATTCATTGAAAATGGAAGACTCCTTTTTTTCTCAGTGAAATGTTTCTAAACCACACCCCGCAAAGGACTTAGTCTCCACTTTTACCTCTGAAATATACTTCAGCAGGTAAAAGTTGAAAGTTAGTGAGAAATTAGCCAGTAGAAAGTTACACCCAGCTAGGAAGAACCTACTCGCATACAAACACTGCAAGATGCACAAATCTCATCTTCAAAAAATGTCAGTAGTGGTTTTGTGTCACAAAGATTAATATGTAAAGAGAATCTAGTAGCTCTTGCCTGCATTTCTATAGCAGAATTAGCATGTATTAAATAAAATATCTGACTACCTGAGGCTCTGATTGGCAGGCAGAACTATGATTTAGGCAACAGGTGAATGTTAATGATGCACGTTGGAAAGGAGGAAGAAAGGTGGGTGGCACTGCAGGTGACAGTGTCACTCTGCTGCTTGCAGTGCTCAGAGGCTTTTGTTCCTGCCAGCTGTTGACACTCTTAGAGGAAAAAGCCGGATGTTCAATGGTTTATGTCTACCAGAGTTCTGGTTCCTGTGTAATTGAACTTCAGTTACTAGGACTGATACTCTTGTACTTCTAAAGCCATGGTTTTAACTCTTTCCACATATGCTGCAGAAGCTGGAACTGGATCGATTTATGCTTTATGCTCATGGTCCAGACCTTTGCAGGGAATCAGATCTCCGCCATGCCATGGCCAACTGCTTTGAAGCCCTAATAGGTAAAACATATGTATTTGTGTGTGCAGTAATGGTTTAATATGTCTATGTCCCATGTTAACTGTGATGAAGGAGACATACCTCTGTGTTTAGTGGTGTTAGTAACAGTAGTCATAGTAAAAATTCTCAAGTCTTCTTCTGCTGCACTTAATGCCACATGTATAGCATGATGAGTGTGGAGTGTTACAATGAAAATCTCTTATTTCCATACCCTGCCTCCCACGCCCTGAAGGTGCACCCATTTCATACTGCTGTGCTGCAGCACTGGTGTCCATCACCACAGAGCCCCACCTCTCATGCACTCCTGTGCCTTGCCACCTGCAGTCATCTGGGGGGAGAAGTTCAGTCACTGTGGACTGGCAGGAAAAATGCAGGTTCACTGCTTCCCATAGTACTTGCACAGACCTGCAAAATGCAGTGTGGCCCTTTAGTCAGAATTTTAAACTCTGGAGCTTGCTATCTGCATCAGGCACTCCCAACCAAGTCACCAGCCTGTTCCCTCTGTGCCCTGCTAACCTTCTCCTGCAAGTCAAACGTGACATTTGCTAAGTAAATATTTTTTTGGTCTTTTCATTCCCCTTGCAAATAAAAAGCATGGCAATATGTCATGGCTGCTGTAATGAAGCTACCAAAACCCACTACCTGAGGGTGAAGGGGAGTTGTATTAAATTTGCTCTTGATTGCTAAGATGATGATTAGTGACTGGCTGCACCAGTCAATAAATTTATGTTGGAGAAGAAATTGGGACTGCCTGACCACAGTTACCAAGTAAGAAACCAGTAAGGCAGAAATCTGGTCAGTTATATCCATACAAGCTCTATTCTAAAAGTGTATTTTAAATAAAACTTCACTTGTGTGAATACATAAAAGGAAGGGAAATCTCACTGATTTGGCTTCATATTCATCCAAATGTGCTGTCAGTCATGTTATCTATGGGAATGATTTAGCCCAGTCGAGATCTTTACGTACTACACAAGCTCCTAAAGCATTTTTGTCCTGCTTTGAAAAATAGACCATAGTTGGCTTAGATGTCACCTGTTGTGTGCATTCTGCCTTGGGCCAAATTGCATTTCATTTTATCAAGAAATAAATGGTTTCTTTTTAATTCTGTTTTGCTTTCCATGAGTGTTTTGATCTCTAATTTAAAAATAAATTAAAAAAAAAAATCAGAGAAGGAGCACTAGATATGTATCTGTGGCTTTGTTCATGTACCTAAGCTTATCTAGGATGTAATCATAAGAATTGTTTGGCAAGCATTTACATTTTCTAAGAGAGGAGCCTTGCTGTTTAACTTCCAATACAAAGTTGTTCACAAAGTTAATTGAGTAGTAAGATTTTGTCAGGGCCATAGCTAAAATCTGGGAGCTTGTTAAGAGACTGCAAAAGTATATGTGGGGTCTGGAGCCTTCTATTTGAGGACCTTTGTAAAAGTCTGGTGCTCTTCAAAATTTCATGCTCACATAGAATGCCTCTGGTGAGATAGTCTTATAAACCCCAAAACTGTTCTCTGAGGAGTCCAAAGAAAGTAGTTAACTTGGTGAGGAATTAAAATGAAAGAGGCAAGAAAAGACACAGCAAGGCAAACCAAGTTTTCCCTGTGTGTGGGAACATAGACTACATCTCTCTTTGTTCGTCATGTAGCTGTGTATTACCTTTGCTTTTACACAGATGTTCTTATATAAACTAGTTTGAAGTTTTCACAAGCCCGTCTGTAAAAGAATATCAAAGGCCAAAATGTTGATCCTGACTTTATGAAATGCCTCCACAGATACAGAGTGTATATGGTGCACACCAAAAGTAGAATGTGCTAGCAAAATTTTTGCATGGCTTTCACTATACATATATGATACAGTTAGCTGATCACTGGAAACTACTTTAGAAACAGATTACTTCTAGCCTTAGTTGTTTAAACTTTGCTGTTTGGATGTATCATTGTCATTAATTTAACTATTTTAAGTTTTTCTGCACATTTTATAACCATTGATTTATGCTGGTGTTTTAACATGCTTTGAATTTCTCAAAAAATCAAATATTACTACAGAAACATGCTTTTAAAAGATAAATGTTTTGGAGTGGGGAAAGCAGAGGTCTGTGACTTTCCTGTGCTTAATAATTTTCTAAGTACTAATGCACTATGGACCTTTGGCATATTGGTCCCCTCATGCAGGAGCTGTTTATCTAGAAGGGAGCCTAGAAGAAGCAAAACAGTTATTTGGACGTTTACTCTTCAATGACAAGGTACTTATTTATTTATATGATTTGATTTCCAATTCAAGAATAGCTAAAGACTTGATTTCTTCATTATTTTACTTGAGAGTGATGAAGAAGAACACATCTGTTGTACGTTTGTTGGTTGGCTTAGGTAAGGAGGGGCAGGTGCCATGGAAACGTGCAGACTTCCATTCAGAGTGCTGTTCTGCCACCAGAGATGGGTGCTGTGGATCCAGCTGCCGTGCTTTGAGGAAGTGTCGAACATGTAGAATGACTATTCCTGTTTCACTGGTTAAATTGCCCCACCCCTAAAACTTTTGAGCATATCTTTGAAAAAAAATACAGGAGATTTCATTCCCAGTTACATAGTTAAAGTCTGATCCATTCTTGTGTACTGTATCACTGTTAGCTGGAATTTATCCCATATAATGGCTAAGGAAAGTAACTAGTACATACTACTGGGACAAAAGACATGTCAGTGCTGAGGGGATGAATTAAACAGTATTCTCCTTCTTGAATGTCTCTGAGTCCGTAAAATTATAAAACTTGTTAGAAATAAAAGTATTTTGAATCCTATTGTAATTCAGTGTTTATTTGCTGCTCAGTGCCTGTAGTAAGGGAAGCCTATATGGAATAAAACAAGTTGATTTGGTTTTTTTTCATTTTTAGTCCTTGCCTTTGGTGAAGTCAAACTTGCTACTGAGGAATACTTGCAAATAAAGTTGGTCCTGAGGCTTAAACAAATCTTTTCCTTCCCTTAACCACTTTTTATTTGGTTCAAGGATTTTTTCACCTCTTTGACACAAGCTAATTGGGAGAACTACAGGAAGTTTGAACAGCAAATACATGATTTTAAAAATTAGTTTGCCAGTACTATTGAATTTGCAATAAGCAAAGTCAGCATCTGAAATAGTTCAGTATTTCAAGTAATGACATTTTATTTAGTACTGTGGAATTTGTTAAATGACTCCCTTGAGCACTAAAGGCAGCTCTCAATGTTTGCAGGACCTGCGGGATGTATGGCTTAATTATCCACTACACCCACTCCAAGTAAGTGTATCCCTTTCTGTAATAAATTTCATAGTTCTCTTTTATTTTCAAGGATGTTTTTCCACAGGTTTCTATTGTAATGCCATCTCAAAAATTGTGCTAAAAAGCAGACAAAGGAGTGTATATATATTTACTATTGTGTATAATTTTGAGTTTGGGGTTAGTTTTTTTTGTTGTTTGTATATAATGAGTCTCTACCTCTCTGAGGATTAATGACTCACCTTTCCTTGGTTCATGTTTGATATATGAGTCTGCCTATACCATAAATCAAGTGAGAGGTGGCTTGCCACCAAATTCTGGTGGGTTCTTGTTCATCTTCTTGGAGCCTGGGGAAAAAGTGTATGAAACCAATCTGTCTACTTATTTTGTTAACCTGAAATTAAGACTGAAACCTGAATAGTAGGAAGACACAGTAGTTGAATGGAATAAGTGTGATCCTGAATTTTTTTGTGTGTGTGTGTAAAGACATGGTTAAGTCTGTGATCCCAGTAACACCAAGTAAACACTGAAATGATGAAGATGTCTGAAGACTAATTCATTCTCCATGTATTGAAAGGCACAGGTACACAAGTTGTTAGTTTACAAGGATGGAAGTTGGGAGAATGGTCTTCCAGTCCTTGTTCTGTGACTGAATTCTGGGGGAGACCTTGAGCAAGTGACAGAGTCTCTCTGCACTGTAGCTCCTTGTCTTCACAGCAAACATGGTAGCATTTGCCAAGTGTGCAGGGGTGTTGGAAGAACAGCTGTATTCAAATTCTAGTCCAGTCAGTTAGTAAGGTTTACAGGGTCATATGAACGTCTGAGTGGTTTCCTTTGTCCGACCAAATCTCTGAGGTTTCGTGCAGTCACTGTCCAGCAGAAGGTCACTTTGAGGTCTCCACCTGAAGTATCTTGTATGTTTGTATGGATTTTGTGATGAATACATAGACAAAAGATTCAACAACAGAACAATGCACATTAAGTGTTTTTATGACCAACTCTGAGTGTCAATAGAAAAGTCTTAATGGGAAGATAAACTTTTTGATTCAGCACCAGCTACATGGTGGCACAGGCTCCCTAGAAAATTCTTCTTACTTTGGATTTCTTTCTTTCATCTTTATTTTATTTTAACCTTTTTCTCTGCTTTCAAAAAGGAGATGTGGACTCTGCTTAGAGATTGGTGACATTGTATGCAACTTACCATTTCTTGCTACTACTTTAACTTGTGTGATGAAAACTTGTTTTCTTCCATGACCCAGAAGCCATTCTAGCTTTCCACTTGCCAGTAGGGGAAACACAGGCTGCTCAGGCTGACCTGTAGGCATAGCTAGCCTGAAAAATGGCATTTAAAAACTTGATAGAAATCACTGTAACAATATGACAAATAAGATGCCAATTAAAAAGAAAGCTCTGAGTAAGATATACAGAACTGAAGGCCTGTAGTGCTGTTATCTTGTGGTAGTCAAGTCAGTACAAACAGTGATGAAAAAAATAATTAGTGGTCATCTAGATAAACGCAGTCTCTTTAGAAGGAATTAACATGTAAAGGCAAGTTCTGCCTCACAAATGAATAGGAGATTTTAGGGGAGGCAAAAAAGCAAGTTATGATGCAGATGACACTGTCTGCTAAGTTGCCAAAGAGCCTGTTGGAAAGACACTCACAAAAGGCTTTTAAAAATGTGTTTTAGGAAGAAAAAATGAAAGAATAAAAAAAAAAAAAAAAAGCAACTCCAGTGAATAATGTCAGTCCGTACAAGATTTAAAGGAATGGCTGAAACATAAGAAATGGAGAACAGGAGTGAAGTGACAACATCTTACAAGGAATGGAGATCACTGGCATGTTTCCCAAGGGATCTTTGCTGAAGTACAGGCAGTTTGCCTCAACAGCTTAGGGAAGAGGATGAGCGGTGAGGTGGCAGTTCGTTGACAATATCAAATTATTCAAGGTAGCAGGGACAACAGCAAGCTGAAGAATTGCAGTCTGATTGCAAGAATACAGGAGTGGCTAACTATGGAGCAAGTAAAAAAGCAGACGAAATTCCACATAGGTAAATATAAAGTACTGTGCATGAGGAATTAAAAAACAGTCTCAGCTCCACATGCAGCTGAACTCCAAACTGATCATTATCTCCCAAATGTGGGATTTTTGTGTTGGGATGTGTAGTTCACCCAAATGAACTATATATGCCAAAAGCTCAGTGGTGTTTAAGGAAAAAGACACATGGAATGTAATCAATTAACAGAAAAGGGACAGGCAACAAACCAAAGAAGAGTTTAATGTCACTTTAAAAACCTGTGGCTATTCTTAATTTTCCTTTAGGCATCCTCATCTTCCTGCTCTAAGGCATTGCTGTACAAGAGAGATGCCCAGAGTGGCTGGAGGAAATGCTGAAGTCATTTCCCAGCTCCAGAAAGCCATTTAACAATGTCATCACATCCAGGACATCAGACAAGAAACTAATAAGAAAAGATAGTGACACAAAGTGCAAATTTTAATTTTCTTGTGTTATTGTGCCCTTTTGAGTTTCATATACTAAATATTTATTCTTGATTTTTGATACTGAAGGGAAGTGGGAGAAACAGATAAGGGTTTTGTCTCATCTTGACATGCTGTCAGTCTGACAGCTCTATTCCATTTTTTTTTTTGGAATCTGTTGCTCAGTTGCAAACGATGTGATAATATTAGAAAGCTCAGACATGTACAGTTGTGCACGTTTCGTGAAAATAAGTAGCGCATGCTGTCCACATGTAGAGGTAACACCATATAGATAATGTCTTATAAATGCCTCAAATGTTACAAAAGCATACATCAAGGCTCGCATCTTGTTTCAGTAGTAATTATCCATGACAAAAAGCCAGAGGGAACTCAAGTTTTCTCAATTCAGCAGTCCACAGAACAACTTTTTCACTGTATTCTTTGTCCTTGGTTTACAGAACACTTGATTTTTTTCTGAAAAGTTCTGGAAGTGTCAGTTTGTCATTATTTGCACTTCATTTTATTTACAGCTGCAGGAGTCCAATACTGACAGACAACTCATTGAGACCTCGCCAGTTCTTCAGAAGCTTACAGAGTTTGAGGAGGCAATAGGAGTCATTTTTACCCACGTTCGGCTTCTAGCACGTGCATTCACTCTGAGGACAGTAGGCTTTAATCATCTGACCCTGTGAGTACACTGCAAGAGGCCTCAGGTAGCTCTGTTGGTCCTTCTGTTAATATCCTAGACTGCTTTATTTGTAAACGAGCTCTGGATGGTAAATCTGTTCTCCAGAGGAGAACAGAGCAGCTGTGTTCTCAAGCCCCCCTGACTCAGTATCCCATCTCTGACAGCAGTCAGTAGTGGATAGCTGGGGAAGGACTGTAGAAGGTGTTAGAGTCCTCACCTAATCTCACATAAGGTTAAATACTGATCCTTTATTTCTTGTGAATGGACAGACTTTCTTCTCTTGCACTTGTTGCATTCATTAGTTCATCGAATGAACTTATACGTTCATTCTTAGAAGAAGTTGCAGATAGAGACCTTAACCCATTGAAAACTTGATGTCAACTGCTCTTCTCCTTCAGTTGGTCCCAGATCTCTGATCTAATAATTGTGTTTATATGTAGCTACCCTGATTTGCTTTCTCCCTGAAAGCTGGTGTTAGAACAGTAAGAACTGTGTTTTCATCTCACCTGCTTAGGACACATTTTCACACAAGAAGTTGTCTTACCTGTGTTAGGAAATGAGTGAAGCTCACTTTCAGGTCGCTCTTTGTTTTAATTTGTGTGTGCATGCTGGTTTTGTTTTTTTCCTCCCCGAGTGCTTATTGATTTTGCTGCATTGATGTCTCATTTTTCAGAGGCCACAACCAGAGAATGGAATTCCTGGGTGACTCCATAATGCAGTTGGTGGCTACGGAGTATTTATTCATACATTTCCCTGATCATCATGAAGGGCACTTAACGGTGAGACTGCCATCAGTCATGCTGTCTAGAGGAGCAACAGTGAGATGGAGACTGAAGTTATGGGAGCAGCTAGTGAATTATTCTGGATTTGATTAATAAAAGACGCCTCAGCAACCACTGCTCGTAATAAGGCTTTGTTAATTTTACGTCATGAGCACTGCAATTAGGAAATGGGGATTTATGAGCTCAGTGCAATAATTTTTGTGAAATGGATCAATAATTTTGAGGATGTCAGTGAGGAAATTGGGAGATAAGACTAGTTCTTATTTAAAGATGGGTGTCTTTAGTTAAAATTACATAGGCACATCATCTGAATTTTTTTATTCTGTTAATCTTAGTCTGTTGAACCTGCAACCAGGCAGGTTTATGTTTTCTGATAAGAAACTTTTGCAATCTGTTTTTGTCTGCCTTTCCTATTGTGTTCAGTCTGGAGCTCCTGTGGTAGCTTTTGAATTTCATTTTACCGTTGTTATCGTCACCTGTTGTTGACTGCTGTAGCCTTTTAGCCTCTCTTATCTGGGCTCTGAACATCCCAGTTTGGGGATCTTTCAGCAATTTATGGTACTGCAGATGTAAGGGAGCAGTACATGTAGGTTTTTTTCCTCATTGATTCATTCAGTACTGCCACTAGACAGCTGCGGCTTTGTTTGTGAGGAAGACATTTTCTTAGACTTTCTAAACTTTTTCTTAATTTTCAAGTCTTGACTAGAATAAAAAAGTGATATGTGTATCAGGAATATGAGTCAAGCCTTCTAGTTAAAATTGGGAAGTAGCACTGTAGGTTTCTTAGCTACTCTGAGTGGTTTTCTCAGCTCAGTAAAGGGATGGTGATGCTAAGTCTCTAGCAGGCAATGTGTTTTCCGGAATACGCTTTGGTCTTTGGGGCTAAAGTTACTTACAAGAAAAAAAGTACATACTCTGACTTAAAAAAATTTTAATTTTTCTTCACCAGTTTTTAAGTTTCATTTTCTTTTTCTATGGATTCTTCTGCACCATTAAGTAGATAAAACCTGAACTTTTGGGGTAAAAGTTAAAAGGAGGAGAGCCTTTTCATATTAATTCTTCAGAGAAACAAAAACGTAGGGCAGAAATCCAAGACTGGTGGGGTTTTTTTTGCTTTGTAGGTGACTTTTAAGAATGTAGTGTTGTTATAGTAAGATAAATCTTTCAGAAACTATTTGGCTTGAAGGATATGAAGTGTTGATATTACTAGGCGTAAATACTCAGAACAATGATCAGAATGTCTCTGTGTTGCTTAACTTAGTGATTGGTGAGTTGTCAATAGAACAAGTTGCACAGTCCAAGTTTGTAGGGGAAACTACAAAGTTAGAGTGGAATGGATGCTGAAAACACACAAAGATATGGAGAAATAGGCAATGCCTGGAATAAAATTTCAACTCTGGGGATCTGCATGCAGTGAAAAAGAAAATTGTCTTAGAATGTGTCTAAATTTGAGGACAAATGAAATGAGACTTGTGAGAAAGGAGACTGATTATGTGGGATCTGAAGAAAAATGGCAAACACTGAGCTCTTTTTTTTGTCACCTCGGAGCATACATTTAAAGTAATAACAAAACATCAGATGAGTGGTGTCTGTAGTGTTGAGAACAATTTTGGTCAAGGATGGGAAGATTCCACTTGATTGGCAGTGTGGCTTCCCAGCGTGTAGTGATTATGTGTGGAGAGATGTCTGTATATTAACTATATTCAAGAAAAAGAAAGGAGAATGTAGTCTTGTCTACATATTTTGAGATAACCAAGTGATCTTCCAAAAAAGAGGGTGACATTTTGTTGGCTTTTGGAAGGTACAGCTTCTCCAGTACTGGCCTATGCAACAGTCACGGGAGGTGGCATGATGTGTGAAGGTGGAAAAATGAAAAGAAATTGCTTTGTAATTAGAGTTAAGCTCCAGGTGAGCACCCATCACACATTACAGCATCTACAATGATGTAGGCTGTGTGCTGCCAGAGTGGAGACTAGCTGTGAAAAGGTTGCTGGAAAGGCACAGGTACCATGTCTTCCCTGTATCATGAAGGGGAATTCTATTTCTTTCTAGATCACACTTGTAGAGGAGGCAAATTGTCGTATCGAGCAGGCTGATAACCACAGTGCCAGAAGGGTAACTGGAGGGTTTTTCCGTCTCTAACTCACTGTGTGGTGTATACATTACTCTTCGTTTCATGAGACTACTAGTCATGATCATGAGTCCTGTCAAAAAAAAAAATCCTCTGCAACCACAGCAGAAAGAGATCCTTCTTCCCCCATTACAAGAAACAGCTTTTTGTCATGTGATACTGCACTTGAGTCTTGTAGGTTGCTTATCATTCCTAGCCCTTTGGTGGAGAGAGCATGGTTTCTTTGTCCTAAGGGCATAAAAGGAAAAATTTTGGAAAGCAACAAGTAGAAGATGAGTTTAAGCAGATGTTAGGGAAGCAGGTAATAATCCTGTCTGCAGTCTGCCTAGTTTATGAAGATAAAGTTGTGAGTATCTGCTTCATATATCATTGCCAAACAAATTATGAACATACTGTTCTTTATTTATCTGTTGTCAGAGATGAAGTATCAAGTGCAGCAAATAAATCTTGATTTTCATAAGCTCAGTTGACATACTGGAGCAAGGTAGCATATAACTTGGATCTAATAAGCTGAACAAATGTGATATGGAAGACAAAGAGAGAAAAAATGAATATGCAGCTTCTCAACTCTAGATTACATAGAAACAGTGGAAAAGAGAGACATTCTTTCCCTCTCATCCTCACCTCCTATAATATCCGTAACTTCTTAAATTACTGCTGTTTCATTTAAAGTAAAAGCAAACAAGCAGGAAAAAAAGATCACCTTAACAAGGGGTTTAGAAAATTGTATGAAACCCTAAAATTCCAAAATGCATCTTTAACCTGTATGGGGTTGTATCTTTTGCTGAACTCTGTATTTGTTCAAGCAATCTGCCTAGAGCCAGGGTTAAGCTTTTCAGGGAACTCTGCTGGAGAACCAGGAGTCCTGGACATTGTCATACCTTGAAAATATTGGAGTCAAATCTTTGTCAGGGATGCTTTGGCTCAGCTATACTACCATCAGTAAAGCAAACAGTACATAGAGACTGTCCTGGTACACATTTTCTTCCCTGGCCAAATGGATGGAGCAGCTTCCTCATCTGCTTGTTTTAAAACACCACACTGTTTTGCTTTAATGTGCATTAGTTTTAATTACTATTTATTTCTTATTTCGTGGACACTGGGGACTGCTTTATAGACTACAGAACATTGTGTGTTTATACTTTATGTAGAAAAATGAGTTTAACTGTGCATTACTTAAACTAGAAAATTGCAGATTAGCTGAAAAAGTACAGGGCTGATGACAAGATCATACACGGTTGCACTGAAGCTCACAAACAGGCTTTTTAAATGCAAGACTTCACTTAAACTACAGAAGTGATGTGTCCATAGAGTAAATAAAATTTAGTGATAAGAAGTGAAACAGAAGGAGAAATCTGCAGGAGAAAGAATGAGTGTGTTGATGTAAATCATTTGAAGTGTGCTGAAATAAAATGCCATTAAACTGAGAGAAGTGAGAGGCTACAAGAGTTAAAGTAACTCAGCACTCCCTACTTTTCATAGCTTGGTATTGCTAATTTTTACAATTGACTGAAACTTCTTTCTGTTGCAGCTACTGAGAAGTTCTTTGGTGAACAACAGGACACAGGCCAAGGTAGCAGAAGAGCTGGGTATGCAAGAATTTGCCATCACTAATGACAAGACAAAAAGACCTGTAGCTCTTCGAACTAAGACTTTGGCTGATCTCTTGGAATGTGAGTTAATTTGTTTTTAACAACTTAGTACTTATACAACTTATTTTTCCTTGGGGCTTGTTTAAAAAAGCTGTTAGAAATCCCCCAAATCACTATTAAAAATGTATGTTCATGTTTTCAAATTAATTATGCCTGTAGCTTTGGAAGCCAGATTTTTGAATGGTAGCCTACATTTTTGAAATCTGTAGGAAAGCATGAAGGAGGCATCGTTGTAAAGTTGTAGGCTTAGAAATTGAGGGGTCATGATGACCAGGTCCAGAGATAGCAGGTGAATATTTGTGGTTCATTTCATTGCGTTTTAGGACGTCTCAAAATGAGCATTCCACAAGAGGGAAAGATGCATGGAAATTAAAATCTTTTTAGTCCATTTATGGAAGTTTGTGATACCTTCTTGTCAAAGAAGGTAGAAACAGTGATAAATATTCTGCAAAGAAAGTTAATCTGTGTCTTGTATCTTTTGATATATTTGGTGAGCCATTCAGACCCCTTGGCTTTTGTCAAATCCTCTAAGCAAATGGAAATAGCACACAAACAGGAGTGATTTATATCTAAAATGTTTTACGATACTGAGTAGTGATTTATTTGTAAGTATCCATAGTCTGGTTAAAAAGTGAGATTAGGAGTTGAGTGTTGTGTTTAGCTCTTTAAATGACTGAGTGGATATAAAGTGGATATGGGTAAGTCACTTAATCTCTTGGTCAACTTTATTTTTTTCCTTTGTATGCAGGATAGTAATAACCTCGTCAGATCACTGCCGTGAAATATAATTGAATATAGCTTTAGAGTACTCAGAGATACTTGTTTCTAAAAGTGCAAGCCATTAATGTTCTCCTTGGATAAGTGACAGTACTGTCTGGTTGTTTGTTTTTTTTTTTTTTCCCAGCCTTTATTGCTGCCCTGTACATTGATAAAGATTTGGAGTATGTTCACACTTTCATGAACGTATGCTTTTTTCCACGTCTAAAGGTAAGATCAGTCAGGTTCCTACTTTCCTGCCATTATATTTTAATACATTATCACCTTTGAGACTTACTTACCACGATCTCTCAATCATAACAGCATCTTTGTGAACTTCTTGTAGGAGTTTATTTTAAATCAAGATTGGAATGATCCTAAATCTCAGCTTCAACAGTGCTGCTTGACTCTCAGGACAGAAGGAAAAGAGCCAGACATTCCTCTTTACAAGTAAGAACTGACATCTTATAGATACAAGCTGATTATCAACCTTTCTTGTGTATGGAGGAAGATGTGATCAGTCACCCTACTTCCTTCCCATAGTTTGATACTATTGTAGTTATTCAAGCCCTTCAGTCTCTCTTTGCCTGAAGATGGAAAATACTAGACCAATGATTTCCATGCTTTTAGAGGTTTAAGCCATTGCAAGGAAGCATTTTATCTTGTCTTGTACAGATCAAAGGGAAAAGAGAATTTTTATGTTTGTATGGAGTGTTTCACTGGCATCATTTTATATTTGTTCTTATTTAATGTAAGGAATTACAGTATTTTAAATTAAATGAATGGAACAGTGGCTGTTCAGGTATGAAGTTGAGATACCTCCATTCTGTTTTCAGTAAGAGTATGAAATTTCATAGAATCATAGAATCAATATGGTTGCAGAGGGCCTCTAGGATCAGGTATAACCTTACCTCCCAAGCTTTCCCTAACCACTAGACCATAGCCTCAAGTGCTACATCTACTCATTTTTTTAACACCTCCAGGGCTGATGACTCCACCACCTCCTTTAACAGCCTGTTCCAGTGCCTGACCACTCTCTCAGGGAAGAAATTCTTCCTAATATCCAATCAGAACCTCCCCTGGCACAACTTGAGGCCATTTCCTCTCATTCTATCATCAGTAATTTGGGAGAAGAGACCAACACCAGCCTCACTACAACCTCCTCTTAGGTAGTGGTAGAGAGCAATAAGGTCTCCTCTCAGTCTTCTCTTCTCCAGACTAAACAACCCCAGTCCCCTCAACCCAGGCTCCATAAGGCATGTTTTCCAGCCCTCTCACCAGCCTCACTGCCCTTCTCTGGACCCACTCCAGCACCTCCATGTCCTTCTTACCCTGTGGTGCCCAAAACTGGACACAGTGCTCAAGGTGTGGTCTCACCAGTGCTGAGTCCAGTAGCAGGATCACCTCCCTACTCCTGCTGGTCACACTGTTTCTGACACAGGCCAGGATGATACCTGAAGGTGGATGGGATGGATCTCCCTTCTCTCTTTCGTCTGTAAAATAGCATAATAACTGCTTCAAAAAGGCAATAATAAACTTCAGATTGTGTATTTCATCCCTATCCATTCAATTAATATAGGAATGAGTACAATGTTAGTACCCAAATGAAGAGATAAAGGCTATGAAAGTCCAATACTTGTGTTATTAAGATTATTATATCAAAAAGTATGGACAAGGAAAGTCTAAGTGCATTTGTCACATTTCCTGAAGGAAAGTTTTTCCGTGGACTGTAGCAGTTCAGTTACAGTGACAAAGCACACTTCAGAGATCTATCACTTCAGCACTGCTGCTGATGCTCTGCAAACCTTGACTCCTCAGTGTCTCTGGGTGAGGGCGCATGGCTTTGTCTTGAGTGAGGGAGAGCAATACAATAAAAACAATTCCTGATTCTTGTAAAACCCACTGCGTGTCAAGTACCAAATGTTTGAGGACTTTTTTTCTGTGATAAATTGATTTTCTTAATACAGCTTAAACATAGAAATATGCTATTATCTTCCTATTATCTTGCTAAATTCCTTTTCTTGGGGTTATCTGATTCACTGCAGTCAGTACTATTGCCTTTAAATTTGGGGTGGGTTTTATTTACTCTTGTCACAGCACGTAGAGACAGAGAACTATAGTTAGATACCTTAAAAATTGGCGTGAAATTGGTACTCTTTCCAAAAAGAAACAAGGTAGTAGACAGAACTTGAACTGACAGTGGGGAGAGATTCGGGACAGCAGGAAGAAACAGGAAAAGCAGCAAGTCATTACATGTCTAAGGAATTATCTTTTTTCCCCTTTAGATGGTTGTTGATGCATGTCCTAGACTTTAGTTCAAGTGACAAAATCTTTTGTGACAAACTAACTTTTCAAAGCTGATGGAAAATTTCTTTGTACTGTGAAAATTCAGTATGTAGAAAGCATCCCTGTCCAATATAAAGTCCTTTTAGAACCTTGCTAACTGCACAGCTCTCAGGGACTAAAATTTTAGTGCACACAATAATCATCTTGGTGTTATTATTTGCAGTTGCACAGCTATGCACAATTTATATGACTTTATTACAAGTATTTTCACAGTGTTTAAGCACTTTGTGTTATAATTTAGATTTTTCCTCATAGGTTGAAGTTTTAATTTTCATACGGTGCTCCTGAGTGAACCTAGAGTAATAAATATAACCAATATAAACAAGGTGAATTTTATGTAAATTACTCCTTTTCATTGCACACCATACTAGTAATCTCTGGGTTAGTGTGATTTATACGAGCATCTTTCAACACTTGCTCTGTGCTTTGCACTAATTCCTCCATAGTTATTGAAAGCTTGGTGATGTATCTACCACAAATAGATTCTGTTTTTTAATACTTCCTGCTTGAATAAATGGTGTCTTTCTTATTTCAGGACTTTGCAGACAGTGGGACCGTCTCATGCCAGGACATACACGGTAGCTGTTTACTTCAAAGGAGAAAGGATAGGATGTGGGAAAGGCCCAAGGTATAGTGAAAAATGAACCACATGACATTAAAATTTGAGTGTCCAAAATGGCTAGTCATGGAGATAGACAAGTGTGTGCTTGGCCTTAGAAGAGGAAAGCCATAGAGCCTTCTTGAAGCTATTCTGAGTTTCTGCCTCAGGAGTACCTGCAAGGTTCCATGTCTCTATAGTTCTGGGTCATAAGGTTTTTTTGGTCAGCTTGCCTACAAGATGGCTGCAATGCTAACCAATTTGTGGCTCTCAAATTAGAAACTGCAGAACAGCTTCCAGGAAACAGTGACTTTATCTTTGCCTTTGCTACTAGATTACTGTCTGACTTAAGGTGGCAAGTTAAGGGTGCAAAGCTCTCGGGTTTTTTTTTATGATGCTCTTACTTCTAGGCATTTTAGAACAGCTTCTAAAGTTGCAAAGACTTCAGGCATGAACCCCAAAGACCTCATCCTATTTTCTGCGACCAAATCTGGTGGTGGTTATAAAAATATCACTTGTTTTATAGCGTTCACACCTCTGATTTTGTTCCTTTTCTCCTCTCAAGTAAAAGAAGTGCTTCAGTGAAGAATGGACTAAAATATGCTGTTAGTGTTATTGATCTAAGTTTAAAAATATTCTACTGGAGCTGTAGTGCTATTGCTCACACATTTATGAAAAGGCTGATACATCATACACTCTGGGAATTACTAACTGCTGGTTATCCAAAGTGTTTTATTACAAAAGAGTAACTAGTGTTCCACTTTGTCAGAAACTTTAGTTTACTCTGTACAATTTAGATCTCAAATAACATGGTTTTGTTTGACTTTCACAGTATTCAGCAAGCAGAAATGGGAGCTGCAATGGACGCACTTGAAAAATGTAAGATATTTGGCCATCATATAAAATTATTTATAATATAGATCCTTGGTCTTCAGCAATGTGATGTCCAGGCTTTGTGGGGTATAAGATTAGAACAGAATGTGTATACTGAACGCTGTCATCTTCTAAGCAGCAGGTGTGTGTTTTAGTACTTTGAAGAGAATTTTGTAACAGGTGAAGTTGACGTTATCAATAGATATTTTGTCAAGGGAGTGGATCAGCTACAGAGGTGGCAGCTTAGAGGGACCCTCTAAGTAGTGGTGTAGCCTCAAATTTCCTGTGCTTGAATATGCAGTGGGATGAGACTGCTTAGTCTGTATTGGTGTGGGTGTCTCATCCTCTAATTTCAGAGAGGAGGAAAATTAATTTTCAGTTGCCAATTGAGAAAATAAAATTTGATCTCAGATAATACAGTAGACTAGGTCAGATCCCCAACTAATGTAAATCAACATTTAGCTGTTGAGAATGACTTGTATCACCTGAGGATCCAGTATTCCTCTCTCAAAATGATGCACAGGATAGCCAGCGTGGGAGCTGTCATTCGTTGCAGTGGAATCTCAGATATGAAAGGAATGAGTGTTTTCAAACTTTTGCAGAAGAACTTTGTTCAGTTTAACTAGTGCCAGGTGTGAACATACTGTGAGCAAATAGATTACAAGCATTTTGTGTATTCAGAAGAATATGGGGGAGGTATATTTTTGCATTTGATTCAAAGGAGAGGCAGGCAGTTCATCAGATGTCAAAAGTTTTTAGTCAGTTATCTCTGCATCTGGAAATCCCAGGGCTTAAAAATTTCAGAAGACAATGAATCCCTGTAATTCAGAATTTTTTTTTATATCCATCTGCTAGGCATCTACTTCTCACCACCAGTAAATTTGACAAGTAGAAAAATGTAGCTTCCCTTCTCTGCTGAATATCTGCAAAATGTTACTGGAGTTTTCTTTGGGTGTTTTTTCTGGTGACAATATCACCATTCACAGAGCTGTGAGCTTCATCTTTTATCAGTCCAAGGACTTCACAGCTCTGCTGTGACATACATATTTATTAGAATACTGTGGACCTCTACAGGTCTCTGCTCCAGCCACCCCTCAAAATAGAGCAAATTTTCAAGTTAGGTCATATTTGTCAGTGCCTTACCAGTCGAGTTTTGACTGCCTTTAGGGATGGAGGCTTCACAGCCCTTATATATAATAGAACAGGTGCCTGTATGTTTATGGAGTGTAGGGGGTTTTGGGGTTTGGGTTTATTTGTTTTGTTTTTTTTTTTGATAAATAAGTAGCTAACTAGTAGTAAGAGTATTTTTCATATATATGTTTATGTATCTATGTGAGAGCCATGATGAGTTTATTTCATAAATTTATTTCTTGACATTTTAAAGGGTTTATAAGCAAACAGGTTGCTACCAAGCCAAGTTCTTCAGAGTTTTCAGAAGAATCACATTACAGGCACAGTGCTGAAAATCTGATTTTCATTTTATGGTGCACATGAGCAACAAAATATCTCAGAACTCCATTAAACAAAGCACTTACACAGCACAACTTTAGTGCTGTTAAAAACAGCAGCAATTTTAAAACAATTTTCTTTTGTTTAGATTGTTTTCTGTTTTAAACAAACATGCCCTCCTATGCCCGAGTTGTAAATATCTGATGAATAAACTTTCTATTCCTGTAGTATATAACAAAAAGCACAAATTTCACCAGCCAATAAAATGAAACAGGAGAAAGTCATTCTGTAGATTATGTGGCTTCTGCATTGTGTTGTCTAGCTGAATAAGCCTGTGCTGCCTGGGACCCAGAAAGAGAACTTGGTGCCAAAAGGACTCCTCCCTGAGGATCCTCAGCTGTATTCTCTCTTGGTAGCCAGGTAGAGAGAGAGAGAGCAGTCCTTTGCCAAGAGATCTCCCAGATGTGCATGGCTTTAAAGGCCAGTGTAGTAACCTTTTTGCACTCAGCTCAGACACATGCAGGGAGCCTGAGCCCAGAACTCCGTGTGATCCCAGCAGGGTTTGCCACCAGCTGCAGGCTGCCCTATACTCTCCCATTTCTACGTTTGCTGACCAGCTGGAGGGTGCAGATCTCTGCAACACAGAGAGACATAGGAGTGACAGCACCATGGTCATGAGTGAGACATCACATTCTGTCAGCTGTGCAGTGAATTTTGGGACATTCCCCTCAGTTATGTGAGCTGGTTTTGCAGCCTCAGCCCTAGCTAGTGTACATCTGTGCAAGCCAATGGACAGATGTCTGAAAGCAGGAGCAACCGCTCGCCCCGAGCTGTTTCTGCATCACCTCAGCCTTGTCTGGTCTCTCTTAGCCTCTCTCCACTCATCCCTGCTCTTAGACTATTCCAAGGCTGGATTCTGGTCTGTAGCTAAGCATTAGCTTTTTCAGGAACAGATTTTCCTGCCTTCCATTTAGCTACACTGTTACTTTCCCATTAGGAACCCTGCCAGAATGTGGGGCATCTAGTGCATTGTGCGTGATCTAAAATAATAGTAATAATAGAAATATCTGTTTAATAGAAATATCTGTTTAGTGCTTCAAGCCAGTGGCTCTCAGTTTTTGCGGTGAGAACAAGACAAAAAGCCCTGAAAGTATTGACAGTAGTCTTACATCTGGTTTTCAGTATGAGCCACCTGTTGCTAAGGGAACAGAATGTAAAATCCAGGTAATGCCTGGTCATGTTACTTTACCAGGATTTTGCACTCTAGGTTGGTGAGTGTATTAAATTTAGCAGTGCTTTGCAGCAGGGGAAACAAATGTGTAAATCATAAAGAAACCAAAGCCTTATGACACACAGCCCTGGTTTACCATGGATAATTAGAAATAAATGAGTGAAAATGGAAGTAACATTATTCCTCCCTATCCCTAATGTCATCAGAGTTGGTTTTGGTTTGTTTGGTTTTTTTTTTAAATAGATATAAAAGAGCTGAGGCTTTCTGTGTTACCAGTTTGTTTATTAATGTAAAATATTTCTCCTTGTGTCAGATAACTTTCCCCAGATGGCCCATCAGAAACGATTCATTGAACGGAAGTACAGACAAGAGTTGAAAGAAATGAGGTGGGAAAGAGAGCATCAAGAGAGAGAGACAGATGAGACTGAAGAAGCAAGGAAATAAAAGGAGGGCACAAAAGCAGTGGCATATTTACTTACTTAATAACTCTGTGGCCTGTGGAGACCTAACCTAGTTTCCTGCAGATGATGAATGAAGAGTGCCTGTTGATATCAAGTAGAAAATCATAATCTTTTCATTAAAAAGTGTGTGTATATATAGTATTTCTTCAGTTTGGTTTTAAGTGCAAAGTTGCTTTAGCATTTTAATAAGATTTGGTTTTAAATCCTTTTAATTTTTATTAGAAGTTGTGGGATTATTTTTATTATTTTTACTGTCTTGTATGAAGTAATAAAGTATTCATTTCAAAAGCTTGTAGAAGGAACACCTATTCAACAATTGTCTCCTATGTCCAAATGCTGTTTTGTCAGTGACCAGGAAAGTTATTGCATGAACTCCACCGTGGAGGAGGACAGTGTTACAAGAAACTAATTCAGCAGAGCACTTAAGCATGCACATAGCTCCAGTTTTGCAGTGGAATGTACTTCTTGACTCTACTAAACCAGAACTATAAACTTCAGGTCCTTTTACAGAAACTGGTACAGTATCTCAAGCAAAGGAGATACTCTGTTTTAAACAGTGGATTCCACATCTGGAATGTAGTACACATAGTACAGGTATGTGTGGAAGGTTTGGGATTTTTGCCTTTAAACCAGTATTATGAAACTCCTAAGAAATAGAAAAAAAAACGTAATTATGAAGCAAAAGCATAATAATTTTTTTCATCGAGGATGTACAGAGTTTACATTAACAAGTTTTATTTCATTCTCAACTTCTTGCTTCATCTAATGGATGGTTACTTTAATGAGTTTCTTTGTCCAGAAGATACCAGTGTGACCATAATAGTCAAATGGTATATTAGAAACCCCATACAGGTGCTGATGCAGATAGGTTTATTGAAAACTCGTGTGTCCAAAGGAAGGCAGAACTTGTTCCCGAGGTGTAGTTCAAAGGTGGAGTACAGTTTTAAGTCACCCAGGTTCCTTCATTTTTTTGTCACTTGTCTGTGGCTTGTGTTAGACAGATGTGTCTTCTGTAAAAGCTCTGAAAGGTACCAAAAGTGGAACATCCACTGTATGTGGTGGTGATTTTCCCCACTGAGTTCCAGCATCATGATAGATGTTGGTGCATTGTTCCTACTTTTAATTTGCCTGCTTCAAGCCATTCAATTTTGTTATTCTGAGTTAAAATAGTCCCTTTTTATGTACTGTGTAGTCATTTCTCTTTCTTTTCTGCTGAGTGAAACAGATACAGCTCTTATTTGTCTTAACTGTGCATTTTCTTCTGCTTCAGACCCTTTCTGGTGAGGCATTTATGCATCTTTTCTAATGTAAGTAACACAGATATATGCCATGAGATACCAGGCAGCTTTGTGAGCATGGATGCCTAAGTCTGGCCCAAAGGATTCCTGCAGGCTCTTGAAAGAGACATTCTTCCCAGCGGCCACCCTACACTGAGCAGCTCAGGGGTTGTCTGAAGCACCTATCATGTGATGGGCATCCATGAAAGCACTTTATTGCAGGTGCCAAAGTAGATACAAATGTAGCTGAAAAGTTCAGACTACCCGAATGTCTTCCCAAAGTTTCTCTTCTGAGCTAATCAATATATTTTCATACGCACATTTTTGTACACATGCAATGTGAGATGCACTTAAATGTGTTTGTTTATTTTTAAAACTTGACCCCACAGTGCTACCTCACTTCTTACAGCTTCTGTGGTTGCCTTTTCTTAATGGATTGATGCTTTAAATCCATTTCAGAGGATGAGAGGGGAAAAAAAGACCAACCAAAACATTCTCTGATTTAGAGAGTGATAGTAAACTGTTAAAATGTAAAGGAAGGGATAAAACCATCAAGATAAAGGCAAGAAGCTGCTCCCTGCTGGATGCTGCTGTTCCTTGACTTTTGAGAAGTGATTGTAACTCCTTATAGCTTCAATCTGTAAATAAAAAGTTGAAATGCCTCTTAAACAGCAGCAGGCTTGAAAAGCAAGCAGCAGCAACTCCCCTGCCCTCAAGTCTTTTGTATTTCAAATTCTTCTGTATAATTACCCACCTGTTTTTTTCTAGCAGTAAGTTGAAATGGTGCATTGGTAGAGGGTTTAAGGTAATTTTGTACATCATTATTTTATTTTTCTCTCTGAACTGAGACCAAATTCATGTGTTTAACAAGCAGAATATGCAGTGACTTAATTTTCAGGTGTATGGTTGCTTTGCAAGTTTCTGTCATCGTATCTGATATCACCAGAGTAACCCCAGTGGAATTCTTAGCTCATAGATTAGCATTATTTTCATTCTTCCTATACATAATTTGACTTTTCAGCTGTAACAAGACTGTGAGCTTATTCATAAACATTTGCATAAAAATAGATGGATTTAATCAGATGTGCTGTTTGAGGGGAGGAACCCAGAACTGTTCTCTTTTCTTCTTTGACCCAGAAACTGCTTGAAATCAAACAAACTTTTAAAACCATTTCTGCATTCCATTACTACAGTTAATGAATTTTAGGCCTTCCTCAATAAAGTGTATATGATAAACTTTTTTTTCAGGAGTGGGCTACTTTCCCTTTGTTTCACTCTCTAAGTATGGACTGGGAAGATTGCCTGAAGAAATTTTGGTTTTCTTCCCTTGAGGGCAGAAAACAAAATAAAAGATAGAGAAATTCACATTTCCTTTGCCTATGTCAAAACCACGTGTCTTTCTGTGTACACACTGTCTAAAATCAGTGGCTGTGAATGTTTCTGATATTTTAAGGAGGTACATAGAATGTGTAATGTGGACACAGTCCTCTGTAACACACACCAAGGAGATACTGTTGGTTTTTTAAGCTGCCTTAAATTTGGGAAAAATGAGTACTGAGCTCCTGCTGACCAGTGGAACAGCTGTAGTTTATAACCATAGACAACTTTTTGGAGGCTGCTTTTTGGAAATTTGAACTTATATCTGGCTTATTGATAAATTAACGTCCTTTTTTGACTGCTCCAGAGCCTGATCTGTTCTGATCTTATGCAACATCTGTTGACTAGATTTAGATACCCATAGAAGAATGAAGAACAAGACTGAGATGTGTGGATCCAGCAGATCTTGTGAAAGCACACTTTTTTTTTTTACTTTTCTTTTTTTAACGTGCATATGTACAGAGCATTGGATAGAACTGTAGGTCATTTGATTAGGAATTTTAATGGAATTTACATAAAATTCATCATCATTATTTGCAAAGCCTAAGTTTCCTTTGTAAGGTTTCCATTTCTAGAAGATTATTTACCAGCTATACTAAGAGAACTTTGGTCTCTTAAGACTGTTGTAAACATTGTTGCTAATAAAGTTTTCCAGAAAAGACTTCAGGCATAGTTGTTACTTGCTAAAACAATTTGGAAAGATCAAAAGGCAAATCCTGATCATCTGTCTCCCTACTTCAAAGACTCTGATTATATGGGCTACATATTTAAATGAAGTCAGCAATTTACTTGTAAAAAGTTTTTGTTTGGTGGAAGTTTGTAAAGCCCTGTAAGAGCTTAGGGAGTTGATCCATCTGCACTGTAAGACTGCATTGTCTTAGATGGGGCTGGTATTGTGACAGGAATTTCTGTGACTACATCCCACCCTGCTGCTTCCTCTTGCCATCCAGCCCACCCACCCACCTGTGGTTATATATTGGTCATTGAGCATTTGAAATCGTTTCACCTAGGTGGGGAATAATAACTAGAAAGTGATTCCTGGATTGTTCCCTGAAGTGTAGTGAAAACTTGCAGTTGAAGAGTACCCTGCTGTCTTCTGTTGCCCACAAGCCTAAATGTTTAGTTCCTGGAATTGCTGACATCTTACTGCGAATACACTCAGAAGTGAAATGTGACATAGCTTGTCATTGGTTGCTGGCAATTATGTTTGGCCAGTAAGCCATGGTGTCAGGGGACAGGTGTTCTGGATTCTGCTGACTCTTCTTCCATTCATAGCTAAGCAAATACAGTGAATAACCTGGAAAACAGCTGCAAAATAAACTGGTGGCTGCATAATGAACTTGGGTTTACTTACTAGATCAACCAAAAAAAAAAAAAATTACCATAGCAAATAATGGTAGGCAGAGCAGGGAATCTGATCTCTCATCTGTTCTGTCATGGACACATTTCAGTACTGTGCATTCTTATTGCAGAGCTGCTCATTAGACCATCTACCACTGACAAATAGATTAACTCCTTGCATTTTGAACGCACACAATTTCACTCTGTATGAAGATGCTAGTTACAATGGATTGCACATCCAGAAGTGCACTGATCACTTCAAATTATAAGCAAGATGGATATTGTTATTTTAGTGAGAATGCCCTTTTCAAAGTATTTAATTACTTTTTATATCCTCATACACTGACACATTTTGTATTCCCAGCCCGAGTTACCAATGGTGTGTTTCTTAGCAAATTGTTCGTCTTGATGCACGTACCATGTCTACCTAGTAATGAAATGTTGAGCAGGACCATCCTTCCCATCTTCGTAGCGTTTCTCAGGATTCCCTTCTTACAGCAGTTTGCTGTCTGTAGAAGGAAGTAAGGGTCAGTCACTTTGCAGTGGTCTTGTTTTGTTTTCCTGATTTTTTTCCCTTCACAGCAGCCTCCCTCCTCGCTGTGTGTGGTGATTTGCCCAGCGAGAGCAGCTCTCCGAGGCGCGCTGAAGGGAGGACCGGCCTAGGCTCGTGTGTTTGTGCTCTCTGCTCCTGGGCAGGAATTGTTACTGGAGTCCAGGCCTCAGGAGGCCTGCGGCAGGGCAGGGATGCTCATCAAGTGCATGCATTAGTCTGTAGATTATGTATCTGATTTTCTTTGATACCCTGCTAGGTTTCCTGTGCCTGAGACTGCCTTTGGGGGAGAAAAAGAGAACTTGGCCATGCAGGCTGGGCACTCTCATCCTCTTTCCTGTGGAGTCTTGGGATCCAGAACATCTGTAAAATGGGGGATTCTACTGTGAGAAGCCAGATCCCACACGGTATATTGCTTGTACATGTTTTTAGAAAAAGTAAATAAATAAGAACTTTCACTTGGAGCAGACATTTCAAAAGTAGCCCATTACCAAAGAGCAGACTCTTGAGCTGACAAATAGTGAATTTTTACTGGTTGCAGATGAAGCTCATGCATCAGTGGTCCAGAAGCAATGCAGCAGTGAGGGGTGAGTCTCTGTCTCTGAAGGCAGCTTGTTTATTTAAGAGTGGGGATGGCATCTGTGGGAGCCCATGGGACCCCACTGGTGCAAGCTGAGCCAACATTTCTATTAAAAAAAAAAAATAAA